GGACTTACCTGAATTCCTTCTGATTTCTTCCCTCTTGGTCTTGGTTGCAATTTCTAAGTATTTTGCCATTGAGATCTCTTTTTCCATTAGCTTCATGCCCCTCTTACTTATGAAGGATATTTGATGCTTCTGCTGTCTTCAGAAATCAATCAGTATTACTCATTAGACTGCCTTCTAAAAGATAGCATCCATCATTCGTATCTTTAATTATATTTTTTTCATAGGAAAATGTACATAAAACTGAGGTGCTTAAATTTTTGTTAAATAAAAAGTATACAGCAAAAATGTGCAACTACAAAATGTCCATGGTTGAATATAATTACTGATTGACCCACTGTCAGGTGACATTTTCCTGAGTGCTATCAAAAAATGGTCTCTGATGAAATAATTCTTTCTCCATCTGTATACATCAAAATATGTACTTGCCTATGGTCAGGCAGTGGTTTGATGTTCACAATTCACTTTTAGACAGGGCTTTAGTTTTTGTTAATTCAAGTGAAGCATAAGAGTTTAGTGGAGTAATTCTAAATGTTTGTATTATGTAAACATCTTAAAATAGTACTTTTCTAAGTGGTTTGAAAGATATAGTAGGTCAGTTTTATGTATTTCAGGAAAGTTAACTAACTGGACTATTTGTTAGCTCTGCACATAAAGTATTTTTAACTAGGGAAATATAGCCTTTTTTTTTTTTTAGCTCCTTAGAGTTATTTAACAACATATTTAAGGTTATATTTAATGCCAGATAGAATTTAATAAATATATGAGGCACATGTGTTTTGGAAATATTAAATATACTTTGTAATTCCTTTTCTGAGAGCCTCTTGGCTTAAAAATATTCCACAGAAGAAAGATTAGCCCACTGAATTCTAACTTGTCCTATTCTAAACCATACAGGGGCAGTTTAAATTAAAAATAACAGCAATACTGGGAGCTTGTTGATTATTTAGAGATTGATTGTCTGTGTTTAAGTATTCAGACTTAGCTTTTCCATTCATACTTTATTTCCTTGCCCTTCAGCATGAAAACAGAAAATCCAGATGAGTCCCTTTACAAACCATTCCTGATCCATAAAGTTTTCATTATAGAGGCATCAGTGAAATTTTACAAAAGGAGTTTGGATTTATCTGCACATTTCAATTGTCCACACTGTTCATTTGCTTTATCACTGAACGGTAGGCATCAGCTTAGAACAATAACCAGATCCATCTGATTAATGTTATTGATAAACCAAAACCATTTACTGATTCATAAAGTTTTGAGGAAATTTTAGGATAGTTTCCTTTACATTTTCATTTCTTGAGAAAAGTAATTTTCCACTGGGAGATTTACTCATATTTGGATGCTTTCTACAGAAAGCTTGTTTTCTATGCATATGAATGAATAAAGCAGCGTTATCAATAAGGTACAGTGGTGAACTCTGCTTGCGAGAAGATTGGGTTGGCTTTGCAAAAGTAATGAGCCCAGCCTTTCCCCAGGGGCTTCATAGTAATTAATCATTAAGAATCCAAAAGCAAGTGTTAGTCATGTGAATTGGGAAGCCGGCACTATGCTGTCAGACATTGAGATTGGCTTCCAGCACTTTTCATACTAGGCTTGTGGGAATAGGCTACATTCTGCCAATCCCTAAGCTTTGAAACAGTAGAATAATGACCTCTCCGTGAGGGTAGCTGAACTCAGCAGACAGATCATAAATTAATAGCTGCTATTTTAGGGTGTGCAGTGTGTGAAGAAAGGAAGCTGTTCACAAACCATTTGTCTTCATTGCCCTTACACCTGATAAATCGCTATCTATAATGTTATCTTGACATGAAGAAGAATTCATAAATACTTTTTCTGGTCGTGAGACAGGTGCTACTCTAGTAGGGATTTTTAGATGAGTAGTTACTGGAAGTCCTGTTATCAGGACTATTTATTTATTAAACATTGAGTTAATGGCTTTGAAGATACATTTGAAGTAAGAAACCATGTTTATAGGTATAGGTTTTGATAAGCTGGTTTCTGATTTCCCATGAAGAGGGAAGATGATGAAATGCCAAGTCGTTGACTCTTAAAGCCTGATTATCACAGCATATTGGAAATATTTTTTCCACCTAATTCTAGTAACTAGAGAAGGGAAGATGTGTATCAGGAGCTCACACGAAGCAGAAGCAATTTGTGCTGGAGGCCTTCGGCATGGCACTAGCCTCTTAAATTCCATGTTTAACCCTATATAATCCATTCTTCACACAACAGCTAGAATAATTTTGAGTAAATTAGATGATGTCATTCCCCTGCTTAGAACTTTAATGGCTTTGCAGTGTGCTGAAAATAAAATCCAAACTCCTTAATGGAGACAGCTGGCTTTCTGCCTCTCTCCTTTCATAGTACTCTGCCTTCTAGCCACATAGACTTTCTTCTTGTGCCTTTTCAGGCTGTAATTTCTGCCCTGTAGTTAGTTCACTTCCTCAGATTGTTCAGATCTGGCTTCTTATCCTTTGGACCAAACACATCCCCTGTTTATTTACTCCTTGGCCCTAATTATTCATTTACTTGTATGTCTTCCTTACCAGACTAAGCTCCATGAGAGCAGGACCGCTAGATGCTCTCAACAGATACTAAGGGAAGCGAAGGAGAAAATGGGAAAGAAGTGAGGCCCTAAGGAGTCTGAGGGTTTCTGATGTAGACGGAGCCATGGTGAAGGAGGTTCCCAGTGGAAACTACAAGTCTTCAGAAGGTTTTCAGGGGTGGCAAGGAGCAGAGCAAAGACAAGGCTGTTATTGAGTGGGCAGCTTTCTGATAAGCTTTGTTTTTATCAGTACTGCGAATTACGCCCACTATCCTCCCCCTCACATTCACCTTGAAATGTATATCAACTTTTGAAAAAAAAGAATGGATAACATGTTTTTGCCCACCCAGCACCCCATCTATTTTAATAACCCCCAACTGAGCATATGACACAAGATAAAACTGATTATAGTACTAAGATTCCCTTACTAAGGCATTGGTTCTCAATTAGTGTGTATCAGATCCACTTAGAGGTGTTGTGAAAATCCAGATTGCTCAGCCTCACCTCTGCTGTCTTAGGGGGGGTCTGATAATTTGCATTTCTAACAAATTCCCTAATAGTCTAATGCTGATTTGGGGAACTGCTGGTCTAAGGAATGGACATCCAAGCCAAACCATATTGAGTATTTGGGATTTCCCATACTGGAGGTAGGAAAACTTTTCTGGCTACAAAACTGTAAGGATGTGAGAGGTCTGAACTGCCATGCAGAGAGGCCAGTTTGAGAGAATAGCAGGAGTAAAGCCAAGATGTGGAGAAGCCCTACTGACTAGAGGTGCTAGAGCCCTTGATTCATTCATCCCCTAGGCCATACACACTGCCTTCCCACAGCATATGTGGGTCAGTACATTTACCTTATTTTAATATAGTTTGTTTACATATCATTTTGCCCACAGTAACCTTGTGAAGCAGTTGGCATTAGCCACATTTTACAAAAGAATAAACTGATTCTCACATTGAAGTAACTCCAACTAAATTTGAATTCAGTCTTTGCTTTTAATTAACAGAACTTAAAAATTGATACTTTTAGAAGATCAGGTTTCTTACTGTGAATTTGCTCACAACCTCTTTTCCATAGTTGTCTGAAAGTCAGCTCTGGCCAAGGGGAATAGATTTCTAGCCCATGGACCACTTAGGCTCACAGATAGGTGTTTGGCCCGCCAGCACTCTTAATCTTAAAATTCTTTGAGTGCCTTTGGCATCATAGGATTCCCAGTTTACCAGTGTTTCTACCCCTCACTGTCTTATGCCAAACTTTCCTGACATAAGGTTTGCATACCCCTCAGGCTTGTCAGGGTCTGAGCCTCTGCATCTATTCAGACTTCACTTCCCATTCCATGGAGTAGCTGACTGAAACTACTACAGCTGGGGATTGATCATGCCTTTTCCTACAACATCCTTGGTGATTTTATGAGCAAACATTGCTGTTTAAGGGTTGCTTTTTTTCTTTTGGCTTTGTCTAAATTAGACCCTATCACTACCTCATTTTGCCAAATGGCCCAGGGGAACCATGCCACAGAGACATCTGCTCCATGAGTCCCAAGCCAAGGATGTCTAGTGTTTGAGTTATTAGCCAGTACTTTCTCCATCCGTAACCGTGGCCCAAGAGTCAATGTCAGATTCAACTTTAATCTGATAGTTTTACAGCTTGGCCAGCAAGTTTTAGTAAAGCATGGGCTTTAGAATTCAACTGTCTGGCTTCAAATCTTTCTGCTCCATAATAGTTGTGTGATCTTAGGCAAGTTATTTAAGCTGTATCTCAGTTTTCTCATCTGTGAAATGGCAATGAGAGTCTGTATTCATAGTGTGGTGATGAGGATTAGGTAAATATAAAGTGCTTAGAATAGTAGCTGGAAGTAGTGAGCAACTTAATATTAGCCATTTTTCTTCCACCAAGAACATACACTGTCTGGTGTTCTGAAATGTTTATGTGAAGAAAAATAAGACCCAATCTGGTCATTTGCAAGGTGTTAGCTGTGATGTGTCTGATTAAATGAATGTCAACTTTAAGACGTCAATAGCAAATTTCAGTAACCGTTATCTTCCCAAAGGAAGGGCACTCACATTGTCATTTAACAGTTCACTTTACAGTAGAAGCAATTCATGGACTGTTCATTTAGAAATGGATCTTTCAAGCCCTCAAATGAGGTTTCTTATTTGTAGATTTACCCTGTTGGGCAGTAATGAACTTTGTACCAGATTTCAAAGGAGCTATGCTAATCCATTCGGGCATTTCCAACCTTGGAAAGCTGCATAAGAGGGTGAGGGAAAAAGTTCTCATTTGCTGCTTGACTTTCAGAATCCAGGCACCTCTCTTTTTATGACTGAATTAGGATGGTGGGTAAGGACATAAGGAAAGTTGTTGAAAAGTCATACTGTTAGACATTAAAGCAAGTAAGACTGTTGTCCACTCCCCATTATCTTAAAATAATAAACTTGGGAGTAACTCCAGAGAAAAGTCTTTGGATTTTGTTTTTTATTTTATTTTCATGATTCTAGCACTCAGCAGGCTGAAAACCTCCTGTGCCATTCTTCAGGTGCTGGGAATCTCCCACCTGGACTTCAGCCAAGTCTTGAGTTGGCTTTATTTAGGGTCTTGGCTTTGCTGTCAGGTCATGGCTTTTTGCTGTGAATGATGATAGCTGTTGGAAACACTCACATTCTGACTTGAGAGATAAGGAATAGGGAATCCTGCCAACACATGGGAGAACTGATAGTGACTAACACTGCTGGAAGCCACCCTGTGTGTCTAAGGGCCTATGGCCAGTGAGAGGTTGAGATAGATTGTATGTTGCCAATACCCTGTTCAGATGATGTTACACAGTTGTTTCTTGTCTAACAACTGAGTTTGTCAGTGTAGCAGTGGACTTAGACTTTTCCCAAATGAGGGTTGTTCCCTGGGTGTCCTGGGCTACTGTAGTGGCCCTGAGTGAGGAAGCCTGTCATTTCTGGTTGAATTGCTTGAGGACACAAGGCTTTGGCAGTAGGGAGGTAGGTGTCTGGCTTCATTTTGGAGATGAAACCTCAGAAACATACTTAGCCAGAGTTAGGACTATTGACAGCAGGAAGGAGCTTTAATCTAGTCCAAATTACAGATTTTTCGAGGGTCCATAATTTATTTTCCCAGGGTCACTGAAAATCAGTAGGAAAGCAGGGACTAGAATTCAGGTCTTATTTCTAAGGCCAGAACTCTCCACCTGATGTGTCCCAGAGCAGATGCACTATTAGAGAAGCAATGACCAGAAGTGACCTGAAGACACAACGAGAAGCCTACAGCAGGATTTTCACCTTCTAGGGCCGCTGCCCAAGTATATGGTGGTGTCAGACACCCAACATCTTCACCCTCCTTTACATAAATGTTTTTTGATAGACTATCTTAAGCTACAGGTGAGATTAAGGATATTAAACCCACTGATTTCTCTTACCAGCCAGATGCAGCCCAGGCAGCGGAGGTAAAGTTGACATAGGCAGCAGGAAATCAGATAACAAACATCAACAAGGAAACCACCCTGGCATAAATTTTTAAAAAACAAGCAAAAGCACCTAAAATGAATGTTGAGATAGAAGTTTTTTGTAAACTGCAGATTATACATTCAGCATCTCATGACCAGTACTGCTTTTGTACAGCAGTAGGTCATGTTCCAGTATGTGCAAGAGCCACAAAAGGCCACCCTCATTCAGCCTGGTTCCAGTCACCCCTCTTACCTGCCCTGCCTAACAAACTAGAAGCAGGCTAGTCTCCTAGCACCCAGGCTTTGAAGGAGAGCCTGCAAAGGGCTTGCTCTCTTACAGAGAACTTCCTCTTGTCTAGTTCTAACAAACTGAGAATCTTTATTTTCATAATATTTTTGCTGACAGTACTAAGGGTTAAAGAAGATCTTGGATGACAGTTGGTTTTCCTAATAAGAATATGCTTTACCTAAAACCCATGGGCTTCATTCAATATCCGTCACAGGAGGTGGTTGACTGTATATTAATAGATTAACTCACCCAGCCCCTGTAAGTGTTTGCTAAACACAGCAGTGCTAGAAGATTGAACTGTCTGTGGTTCTTCCCATACAGAAATTGCATTCATGTATTTGAGGAGTCACATTTTCTCAGATGAATATTTTTACTGTGTATATGACTTTTCCTCCCAGCAAATGGTTATGCTGAAGTATGCTGCTGGCAAAACATGCTGTTAGTCACTGAACTTGAGTTCCCACTTTAATAGTCACCAGAGGTTGCAAATGCAGATGCTTTTAGGGTCCAGAAAGGTAATATAAGTACTTTAAGGAACTTCTACTTGGCTCCAAGTGATTGTTGCCTTGTTGCCTTGGAGGAATGAGGCCAGAAACCAGATTTGTGAAATCTCCCCATTTTTAAATGTTAATAACTTGTTCTAAAAAGTTTTTAAACATGATGTCTAAATAAAATACACCTGGGCCACATGGCTTCTTATCCAAACTTTCTGACCTGAAGAATTCAAGCAACACTTACTATACTTAAATAGCTGTTACATGATCTCTTAAGTATTCAAGTTTTATTACTTAAATATCTCTTTTAACTGAAAAATCTAAAACAATAGGCCAAGATAACCATTCCAGGAGAGAAATGCTGTCTGTAAATGTACCTTGGGGTGAAGTACAGAAGATTTTTATGTTTCTTAAGTTAGTTCCAGTGGTTTGGGTTTGGCTTACAGTGAGGCTGCAGACTGGTGTCTGAGAACCTCCCCCAAAACTTGGCTTCGGCACAAAAAAAGTCACAACAGCTCCTCTTCCACCAGGCCTCAGCATCCACACTCCTCATGGGTGGAGACAGATTTTTTTTCTAGAGATGGACTCAAATGAAAATTACTTCACTAAAAAGATGTCTTTGATTTTTTTTTTTAAACTAAAGTTACAAAGGAAGCGTAAATGTAGTGTAAGAAGTCAGGTAATGGGTGTCTGGGCAACCTCTACATCCAATCCCCAGAAGCCTTGAAACCTGAGGTGTAGACTCTCCTGAGGGCCCCTCCAGCCCCAGGAGCTGAGACCTTGCTGAAGTTTGAAAAGCATTTGGACTTTAACACCATATAGATTTACCTCCAGATCCACATAGGCTAAAGGAAGATTTACAGGTGGTTGGTGGGTTTTCTTTTTAACCCAACTATGATCCCATCAGTGTATTTCTAAGGAAAATGTAAACTGTTCATACATTCTCTTAAACATCACAGTGAAAAACAAGTACCCGTACATGTGACAGGGCAGGCAGAGGGCTCCACCTGCTGTGCCCTTGACAAAGGTCCTTGGCCACACTGGTAGAAATACCGGCTTCACGTCTGCAGGGACACCCGTGTCGTGCCATCCCACTGGAGCACCGGTGGACCCCAAAGGCAGGGTAGGGGGAAAGGGGATCTTCTTGAAATGTTTGCAGGAGCTCTGTTCAGCTGTCTTTCTTCTAGCCCAGGAACACATCACAAAACTACAAGGACACTGGCGAGACCATGGATCTGCTGCCATTTTCTAGGGAAGACTTGGCTTGGAGTATGGCTGCCTGAATTCGAAAATGTGTCCTTGACTCCATGGAGTAATTCTTATAGTTTTGCCTAGAAGAGACCAAAGAATCAAACACCTGAGGCCACTCCAAGAAATGCTCTTCCTTGAGTCTGAGCTGTGGGAGTCCACCAGTCAAGAAAGATTTTTTAAAGGCTTAAATCCCTCTCTCTTTCTAAATAGAGAGTTGGGCCCTGACCAATAGGGCCTAGCAGAAAAGGAGTGCCCTCTTACCCTGGTACCATGCCCTCTGTAGCCACGCTTGGTTCTGCTGTCCCCAAGTTGAGGAAGTTTTAAGAGGTAGATCCACGGGCTGGAAAGCAGGAGACCTGGGTCTTCACACCTGCCCTGCACCTGGCTTGAGGTGTGACCCTGGGTAACTCCTGGCTTCTGGGATTCCAATTCCTCATTGATAAGTTGAGGAAGAAGCCTCCCCACATCGCGTGAGAGCTGGGTCCCCAGAGACACAGACCCAGCCTCTGGAAGGCATGCCTTACTCCCCTTGCTGGGACCTCCCTCCTGCTGCCTGGGCCCCTGGAGCTCCTGAGCTCAGGGGCAACAAAGGACAGACCAAGGCTAACCAAGCCTTACTTGGCAGTTTCCAAGAGTTTGACAGCTTCTTCATTTCTGCCTTGCTCCATAAACAGCAGGGCCAGCTCCAGCAGGGCATTTGGGATCAAGTAGTGGTCATATTTAATCTTCTTTTCACTGCCAGACAGAGGAAGACATGGTCTACAGGCTCTGTCCTTGAGATGTGCTTCAGGCCCCTCCTCCCAAGCCTTCCCCTGAACTGGGGGCCCCAACCCATTCCCCCATGTGGCGTTTCCTCATCTGATTTCCAGTGTGGGAAGGTTCCTATTACCTGTCCCTGGAAAGATTTAGGACTGGATTTAGCCTTCCAGTCCTCTGCACCACCTCCCTGACAACCAGTGACTCATGCCATGTCCTAGCCCATCCCTACCTCTGTTCCTAACTCCCCTTTTCCAGGTTGAATGGTTTATTAAGCTGGGGAGTCTCCTGTCTCCAATCTGGCCTCTCTGACCCAACCTCCAGGCTACCCACAGACATCCCTTTAAAACCCAGTTCTGCTCTGCCTGGTATCCTTACTGTCTTTTTTCTGTCTTCAGGATAAAGTTTAACCTTGTAAGCAAATACTGAGGCCCTTCTCAGTCTAGGCCCACCCCCCTTATTTCATCTGTAAGCCTTTCCTCTATAACTTCACTCGGGCAGGGAAAGACCTAATCACTGTCACCTCAACCTTAGGTCCTGAGTCCAGGGATTTGCACATGCTATAGCAACTCCACTTAAAATTCCTCCTGTCTTGCTTTCTCTGCCTGATAAACTTCCGGTTTATATGGCATTCTTAGACAGCCTTTTCTCAATGCTATCCTCTCTGCTTTCCCCCACCACAGCCCGGAGTCCCCTGTCGCTGTTTTTCTGTAACATTTGCATTTCCCGAGGGCCAGGACAGAGTTGCTGAATTACAAACACCAGGGGCACCATTCACAAGAAACTCAGTGTGGATGGGCTCCTGTAGTGGGGGGATCTGGTGGCCCTGGAGGACAGGTCTGAATTACCTGTTCCCGGGCAAGAATCCTGGCACAGAGTAGGCACTAGTTCATGGGCAGTGAGTGGGGGAGGGCTAGGGTCAGGCACTGGAATGCCTGAGGAAGAAGCAGCCCTGAAAAGTCTCCCCAGGAGGCCAGGGCCCAGAGCAGACCATCTGGAGCGTGAGTGGCCACAGAAGCACTTACTTGGCAGAGATGCTCCTGAAGTTCTCCTCGGCTTCCTGGACACGGCCCAGGTATTTCAGACACAGACCTTTCAGCAGCTTCACCAAGCACTCATCATCCACTGAGTACTCATTCTCTGAAAACGGGAATAAGGGGAGAAGACGGGCCTGTTCATTCCTGCAACAGTTACTCATGGAGCCCCTACTCTGTGCTGGGCCCTGGGGACACACAAGCGAGTCACACATGCTCCCTGTCCTCAGGGAGCCCACACATCTGGGAAGCAAAGACAGATACTATACTGAGACGGTGACAACATGGTGAGAGCAGGACTGACTGAAGGGAGCCCAGAGGCCCTGGCCCTACCTGGGGTACCTTGGAGGAGCTGCCATTAAAGCTCCATCTAGAAAGGCAAAGGACAATTACCAGGCTAGAGAGGTGAGGAAGGACATTTTTGGTAGTGGGAAGCTTCAACTGTAAAGACCTGTGCTCTGACCCAGCCTGGCAGGTTCAAGGCCTTGGGGTAGTTACCTGGGTCCTTTTCCAGCATCTCTTCAGCCTTGGTGATAATCTCAAGTATCCCATCTGTGAGTTCCTTCTGCTTCCCAATCACAGCGTAGCCATTCCAAATGTACATCATTTCCTGAAGGCAGGGGAGCAAGTCAGTCCCAGGTTTCCTCCCTAGTGGGGCCTCAGTTTCCTCATCTGTAAAATGGGCAGCTCAAATCAGAGGATCACTAAAGGCATTTCTAACTCTAATCTTCCATGACAAGTCCCAGCCCAGCCTACGACACTTTGGCTTGAAGGGGTTGTAGGGGGAGCCTTATCACTTATATATTAGTAAGACCTTGCCTTACCCCAGTGAGGATTTAAGATTGATCATATCCCCACTCACCCCCACTGTTAATAACCACGAATTGTTTTCAGCTACTTTTCTGCTCATGAATTCACTATTATGCTCTCTTCCACTCTTTGTCTAAACTCTTCCCATCTTTTGAGGACCAGGCCATGCCCACACTCTCCAGAAAGTCCTCCTCCCTGCTCCAGCTGGCAGGGCCTCCTCCTATATTGGGGGAATCATAATTTACTCAGGCACTCGAGGGTCTCTAACAGAGTTTAAGACTCATCTTCTCTCGTACTCCCCCAAAGCTTAGGTTTCCATCATGAGAACTAGGAAACATACCCTGATTCCTTTTTTAAAAGCTCAGAATACTAAATTAAATTTTCATTCATAATAATTCTGTTAGCTTAGATTACATTTCCTAGACTATCAAACCAGGTAATGGATGTGAAGGTGATTTATATACATAAAGTTGTAGAAAGACATTATATTGTTATGGCTCTTGTGATTATGTTCTAGGAAGGGCATTTAAGTTTAGACCAGTATTTCTCAAGTTATTAATTGGTCCCAAGTTAATGAATGTTCTGTTAAAAAAGTTCTGTGGCCAAATAAGTGAGGGAAAAGCTGCATCTTCACAATTCTTGAAGACTTCTCATGCAGATTAGCATATACAGGCTCCAAGGAGGTCTGCAGTATATAAACTTTGTTTAGGCAGGTCTTGCCCAAATATACTTAATCATAGAAATCATCTTATGCATAAATAGCATTTTTCAGGTTGGTTTGGGAAATTCTTCCCTAAATTTTTGGTATAGTTGCTTCCCTTGCAGTTCCTTACAACATACACAACTCCTTAAATTTGACGATAATAGCTTTACTGTATATTTTAAACTATAAAATATTTCAAAATTTGTTGAGGTTTTCAGGATACAAGCTTTAAATACACTCCATATTAATATTGAAATTTTTTATTTATAAATTGTTTAGCACATTTTATCAGATGATTCTCATTACTGGTCTATGAAATGGGCAAGATACATATTACTCCCACTTTGTATTAAGGAAAGGAGACCTTATCCAAGGTCACAAAATTGGGAAATAGTAAAACAGGACCAGAAAAGGTCTCTGAAGCAGTGCCCTTTCTGCTTTTCCAGCTGCGCTATTGTTTGAATAACAACAAGGATTCCCAACAAACTGGAACCTTCCCTGATGCCTGCTCACTTCATGCATGGAATTAAGCATCCTAACAGCGGTTCAGATTATGGGTTCTGGAACCAGACTGCCCGAGTTCAATTTCTGACTTTCTAACTCACTAGCTATGTGACCTGGACAGCTTATTTTATCTACTTACTAGATAGTTTATCTTCTACTTTTTTCTTTCTAGTTATCTATTAGGCCTGATTACCCCCACCTGCAAAATGGGGCTAGCACCTGCCCTACTTAGAGGCCCGTTGTGAGAATCAAATAGGCAAATAAGCAAATGGGTGTAGCAAGTCTCATAACAATATCAACTATTATTGCTAGTGTTGTTATTTCAGAGCTGAATGTGACATGGTCCCAGAACTCGGAAAAACTTGGGTCAGTGAGGTGAATAGTGTAAACAACAATTATGATCATGTGACAAGACTGAAACAGAGAGGTAGGAACACAAACAGCTGACTGATACCTCTGCCTGGGGACAGGGGCGTCGAGCTGTCTAGAAGGGCCACTCTTTCTGCCTGGAAATATCTGAAGCCTGCTCACCTGTCTCCCCACCCCTACCACCAGTAGACTAATACTTTCTCAGAGTCAGGGGCTGGCTCAGGCTCATCTATCTGTGTTCCTCTCCACCAGTCCCAGGCAAATTATGAAATCTTCTCCAGGCCCCTGAGGCATGAAGGTCTTTCTCCCTCAACTGTTTCCCCTGGAGCAGTGGCTGTACTCTAGGCCCTCAACTAGTTCCCACAATCCCAAACTGGAGCTCAGGGCCAGTCAACACTCTCCTACCCACCAGAGCAGGGATTGGCAATGAGATGGGCTTGGGGGAGAGGTAGCGTCTGGACTTCCGGATGGCAAACTTCTCCGTGGGTAGAGATTTCCCAGCAATCTTGAGCTTCAGGCCTGGTACAGCTCTGAGAAAGAGATGAGCAGGGTGTGGAGGAGGGTGAGAAGAAGCTAGTGAGGACTGAGAGTCCCCAGCCTGCCCAGCCACTGCTTGGCCCCTGTCTGGGCCTGTTCCCCATCTGTATGATGAGAGTTTTGACTTAGAGCCTGTGGCTGTGGCCTCATTTCACAGGCCCTGCCCTGAGACCTGACCACTTCCGGGGGCTAGCAAGGGGCTTCTTCCATGCCAGCTGGCAGTGGTGAGAATGTCCATAAAGGCACCAGGCCTGCTCTGCCCTCTAGTTGTTTCTCCTCCACTTCCAGGCCCCGTTTCACGAGGGCCCAGTGGGATGCAGGCCCCGGTTTCACAGGGGACACTAATACCCTGAGAAGGGGAGGGACCTGCCCAAGACCACACAGCTCAAAACTTAAACTCTTGCCATGGGAACTGTGGCCTCCTCAGCTATTTCCAAGGGCCGAGTACAGTGTAGTATGAAGCTAGACAAGCCTCCACACCTGGGGCCTCACTGGCCTAGCTCCATCCCACCCTCCAGTTTCTGCCAGTTTTAGGGTGTGGCTGTGACCCTCAGGCCAGAGCAGGCTGGCACCAGCCAATAGCTGGACCTAGTTGTGAGGTACTCTGCTAGACCCCTCCTCTGCTTATTCACTGTGGGACCTCTCTGGGCCTCCGCTTGCTCATCTCTAAAATGAAGATAATGAAAAGAAGGGGAGCAGAATTTGTCACCCCAAAATATACCTCTTGCATAAAGGTTATTTTAGGCTGATTATTTGTAAGAGCATCAGACACAAGAAAAGCTCTGAAGACCTAGTAGAAGTTACCCTTTTGTAAGAGACACTTCCTTTTATAAGGCAAATCTCCATTTGTAAGGGTGTCTCCCTCTCTGTACCAGGAAGAGGATGATGGCTGAATCCCTAGCAACTTTTATCAAGGGAGAAGGCAGAGACTTAAATCTGCATAACGACCATACCCTCCTTCACCATCCTTTGCTTGAAAACCTCCCATAGCTGGCTCTATCCCCCCGCTTTCCTGCCATCTTCTTTCTAGCTAGAGATGGTATTTAAGGTGATGGCTTGGCCATTTCAGAGTCACTCAGTTTTCCTGGGTCTCTCTGTGTACACAGGCGGTGTACGTGTTGTTAAACTGCAGTTTGTTTTTCTCCTATTTATCTTTTATTATGGAGGTCTCAACCAAGAACCTAGAAAGGTAGAGGTAAAATTATCCTTCCTCTCCCACAAATACCTACCATCACAGGCTGCCTGGAAGAGTTCTACAAGGTGGAGAAATGGAGGCACTCAGTGCATGATGAACAGTCTGTGCCTGCGACAGTACAGCCTAGGCAGCTTGGGTTACTGCCACTTCCAGGTGTGCAAGTTGGGGCCAACCCGCACCACAACCGGGGGGAGAGCCTCAGGCTCCATCCTCAGCCTGCTAAGGCTAAGCCCTGCTCTAGACCCTTCACAGGAGGCAAATACAGCAGTTACAGGTTAGAAGAAAAACAGCCATCCTGCTCATTGCCTCCAGAACCTTTGCCAGGCTCTTTAAATATATTCTCTGTTTGATTCGCAAAAAATCCTGCGGCAGAGGATGTTATTTCCATTTTATAGACTGCAATTGTTCAAGGTGAGAGCTAAGAAATACCAGAGGCTGGATTTAATCCTGTTTATTTGATTCCAAGTCTGGCTCTCTACTGTGTTCTCTGAGTTGTGTCAGGTTAACTCAGCAGAGAGACCTCTCTGGACTTCAGTGTCCACATCTATCCTACTGGCCAGATGAAAGAGAAAAGGAGGTTGCCAAAACCACTTTCGTGAAAGAAACCTCTGGAAAGATTCAAAGACTCTAACAAGCAGCAGGAGGTGGTGGTGATGGGAGGGAATAACAGGCATGTGGGGCAAATCCAGGGAGGGTCAGGGAGCTCAAGGCAAAGGCAGATGACAAGGCCACCACCTCCCTCCTTGGTACCCACAGCTCAGGGTGGCTTTGGGTAGACCCTGGCTGAGGCCTACAATGGGGGTGCAAGGGTAGGACCCACCTAAACAACTCTACTTCATCATCCCCAAATGGCTTGTAGTCCTCCTTCCCAAACATGCTGAGGTAGGCGGCCTTCATATAGATGTAAGTGGCCTGTGTGAGAGAGAGTAACAGGCAGGTGTGAGCAACTGGTCCTCCAATCACCACCCCAGACTGGCACAAATTCCTCATTGGGACCTCACTAAGGCCCAGCCTAGCAGCTAACATCATCCCCAACACCCAGGAAGAAACTGAGAGTGAGGTCCTGAGCTGGGAGTCAACTCCAGGACAGGCCCACATCCAAACAGCTGCCCTCTCACCCCGAAGCAGAGAGAGGAAGCTAGTAGGTGCACAGGGCAGGGATGAAGTGGGGCTGGAGACACAAAAACAGGGAGCAAGGGCTTCTTGGAAGCAACTACTTCAGATTGGCCCCTTGAAGATTCACAGAGACCTGAGGAAGGACCTTCTGGGCAAGGGGGACAGCCAGAGCAAAGCAGGGGCAGGGCAGAGATGCACGTAAACAGGCTGCAATGGGCAGCATGAAGCATGGGGTGTATAAAGGAGTGAGGCCAGCAGAGGGAGCAGGGCTCCAGGTCAGGCCTCAGTTCAGGGTCTCTCGGTGGGATTGCCTTACTATGTGGTCAGGCACTTTACATACATCACCTCACTTGATCCCAAAGACAGTGCCAGCAAAGAATCTGTACCCCACCTCTGCTTCCTGGGACCACAGACCTGCTAGGGCAGAGCTGGGAGTGACCCCAGGTTTGTGTGGGTCAACAGCCCCTTGCCTACTGGATTAACCTCCAGACAGGGAAGATGCAGCTGTGCAGAGACCCCACCCCAACCCCAACCCCAACACCAGGGATCCATCCGGAAAGCTGTGCCGGTTCCCCAGAAGTCCTGCACCAGAGGGGCCTGGCTGGGGCGCTGCCCTCCAGTGGCCAGGTCTTGAACCACAGCTCCTGCAACTGGGGGCTGCTGGGAGGAGCTACTCCCTGGATCCCAGAAAGCAAGGTCGGGTGCTGGAGGGGAGGGAGCAAGGCATCCTGGAGCCTAGTCTCCGGAGAAGGCAGAAAGCAGCCTTCACCCGGCAGCCACTCCTTTGCTGAAGCCCAGGGCTCCTCCTGACTCCACTCTGCCCTCAGTCGGCCCTGAACAAAATGGAGAAAAGCTGGTCTTGTGGGATGTGATGGGAAGACTCTCCCCTTGGGGAAACCTGTGCCCCATCCCATCTTTAACTTCCTGGTGTCTTCATTGCCTCCTCCCCTCCCTGGCACAGAGTGACCCCATCCTCATCATGAGTTTACTTTCTATCTAGCTCTGGAATCCCACTGGCCTTGCCCTACTGCCCACCTCAGTTACTGCACAAGCCTCCACACCGTCTCCCTGCTCCAGGCCACCTGGGATGTCCTGCTGTCCTAGTCTACATGGTTTCCTAACCCGTCTCCCTGCTCCCACTCCAGTCCCCTGCCAGCCACTGTCCACAACATCACCACTCTCATCATTTTAAGTCAGGCCATGTCCGTCCCTGCCGGAACTCCCCTCATGATATAGCCCTTCATGATCAGGATAAAATCCAACCCCCCCCCCCCCCACTCACATCACTCTAGTCACACTCGCCTTGGGCTGTTTTCAGAACACATCCAAGGCTCTCAGCTTCAGCTGCCTCCTGCCCTGGCCCTGGCGTCTACAGTGCCCTCTGCATAGAACGCTCTTTGTTAAGAAATCCACATGCCTTGCTCCCTCCCCTCATTCTGGCATATTCTCAGACAGACTTCCCTGAGCACCCTGCACAAAAGAGCCCCTCCCTTCACACCTGCATCCTTACCTGGCCTGGTTTTTCTTTAGGGCACTACAGGAACTTGACATATACTGTATGTGTTTTTGTTTTTCTTCTCTCTCTTCCCACAGGAATATGAGCCTTGAGATGTGGGTCTTTGCTCTGTTGTATGTCAGCCTAGAACAGGGCCTGGCTTGTAGAGGTGCCCAGCAACTGCAGGCAGGGTTTCTTAAGGCACAAATCTAAGCTACAAGTGTCAAGGGCTCCCCACTGTCGGACTAAAGCTCAGCCACTCAAGGCCCTCCACGACCTGCTTTTCTGGCTGCTTTTCTGCCATTCCTTCCCAATCACTCCCTGAACTCACCCCAGGCCTGAGCTGTCCCTCTGGCAGTGACCTGGGGTTGTGAGACCTGTGGTCATCCAAGTTCTCAAGGACATTATGGGGCCACACTGATGGGAAACAGCAGCCCCCACCTCCGATGGGCGACCTGTCTCCCCAGGTCATGTTTGACCATTGGTTCCGCACATTTATTTTGCTGGATTGCTCTACCACAGTCTGTGCAGTCAGATAGTCATCGTCCTCAAGCTTACAGTGGGTGGCTTGGATGGAGAAGGTCCCTCTGAAGACCCCTGTACTCCCACCCACAGCCCCTCACCTGGTGACCCAGGACCTCGCAGCAGCGCCCTAGCTTCTGGGCCTTCACCCTTGCTGTCTTCCTGGCTGTCCTTCTACTTCCTCCACTCTGCCACCCCAGTTCCTCCACTCAGGACTCAGGTCAGCTGTCTCCTCATCCAGAAGCCTTCCCTGAAGGGACAAGCACTGGGGGAATGTGAAGGCTGCACAGCGCTGGCTGGGCAGAGTCCAGCAGAGGGGTGCTGAGCAGAGGGGTGCTGAGCAGAGGGGCTCGCATGTACAGCAGTGGTCACAGGCCAAGACCCAGAGGTGGAAGTTGGTGGACTCTAGTGAACTCTGTGGCAGCCAAGAGCTAGAGATTAGGAATGAATGAGGCCCAGAACTCAGGGTGCCGAAACCCTCACTTGCACAGGAAACCCTTCTGAGGAAAGCATGGCAGAGAGGGGGTCTGACCACCCAAAGTCACACAGCCAGCTAGAGAATGAGCTGGGAGCAGAGCTGATTCACAGCCAGACTTCTTGACACCTGGGAGGCCTGGCCCTCCCTGTTCCTCACAGCACAGCAGCTCTCTGGTCACCCAAGGCCTCCTCTTCCCCAGGTAAGGAACCCCGCCACTGCGTTACTCCACAGGACGGCTTCTAGGTCACTTTAGTCCAAAAAGGCTCCCTGAGACTGTGTCCTTCTTGGGAGAGGTCGGTGTTGAGGAATGAATGCTGTGCCCACAGGGCCTAGGCTTGAGGAAGCAGCTTCAGCAGGGGGTGGTCTCAGGGCAAGCAGGCCTCCTCAGGAGGGCCTCCTCGGGAGGGCCTCCTCGGGAGGGCCTCCTCGGGAAAGCTGTGGCCTTTGAGTCACACCAGCTGTCCTCAAATCCTATGTCTGGCAGTGCCAGCTATGTGGGCGGGAAGCTCACATACCCTCTCTCAGCCCCAGTGGAGATAACTTCTACCTCACCGGGTGTGGTGCGGAGGAAATGGCAAGTTCTGGGCACATAGAGAGAGCTCGGGGAGAGCCTACCCCCACCTGGAGAATTCCCTTCCACTGAGAATGCGCTTCCATGTAGAGTTGGGGAGGGTAGTGAGAAATAGGGATTAAGGTCATTGAGACATATGTGCTATGTATTTGCCAATATCAGATTAGATGCTTTCTGATGATCTAGATGATTCTCAGACTCCTGGTTCAGAATTCTGTGCTGTCATTCCTGTGATAATGGCTAACACTTATTTCATCACTTACCGTGATGATGTAAGTTTCCATCTATGGCGAGTATCTGTTTTGCTTTGCTTTGTCCATATGTCCATTTCTTTAATGCTCCCCCCTAGTGCCCAAGGCTTCTTTCAAGGACATCACCTCATTTTTCCTCTGGGGAACCAGCCCTCTTCCACTCCCAATTCATGAGGAGTCTTCCCACCCCTGTTTCCAGGCATTGACAAGTGATCTGTGCCAGACCAGTGGCGTTCTGTTGTGGGACTTTGGTCACAGTGAAAGGACAGATGTGTGTTAGGGGTAGCCCACTGTGCCAGTCACGTGGAAGCCACCTGCCTGCACAACAAAGATGTCCAGGAGGAGAGCACAGTCACAGACAGAAAAGCCAAGCCCAGATGACTGAATCCAAATTCCTGGCTCCAGCCCTGCCTGAACTCAGATGGGCCTAGAATTTTCAGTTATATGAACTGATGAACCTTTTATGTTTTGGGTCCCCATAATTCAATACTGTGGCCACTAGCCCCATGTGATTTTTAAATTACAATTTGAATTAATTAAATGAAATACAACTAAAACATCTGGTTTTCCAATTGCAGTAGCACATTTCTAGTGCTCAGTGTGAACAAGGGGCTGGTGGCCACCACACTGGGTGGCAGAAGTAGACCTTCTCCGCCCCAACAAAGTCCTACGTGCAGCTCACCTAGACCATGAGAACCATCTTCCGTCCCTGTGACTCAAAATCTTGACCAACACATTATAGCTCCTCAGGGTATGTGGTCCCTTCTGACCATGAGTCCTCCCAGCATTTATGGTTTTGTTTCCATTCCAGCTGAGTTAGGGTTTGGCCCCCAGCCTGTGGCTCCTGCCTCGCCTGGGTTGGCCTGATCGCCCAGTGCCCGGACACAGATGCCTGCCTACCTTGGACCAGGAGTTCTCCTTGCTGAGCAAGTCGGCATAGAAGTAGGCCGCCTTCCACTGGCCCTTGTAGGTGGAGCACCACATCAGCTCCCAGTAGCACATGTGGTGGAACTGCCTCCAGTGCTGCTGGGCCTCGCAGCACTCCTCGAAGCGCCGCACGGCCTGTGGGTACCGTGGGTCAGCCGGGCAGGTGCCCCGTTCCCAGACCCCAGACCCCTCTGCACCCACAGGCCCGGCCCCTCCTGCTCACAGTGGTCCGGCCCTGTACCAGGCTGGGGGCAGGGAGGCCACTGGACACAGGGGCTCTGGCCTCCAGTCCTGGTTCTGCCCACTAAGTCACACGTGACCTTGGGCCCAGTTACTGTCCCTCTAGTCTAGTCTTTCAGCACAAACCAAGAGGATGGGGCAGAATTACATGGAGGGATAACAGGCAATGGAATGTGTTAATATTAAAGCAGCATAATAATGGCTATGCCTCAGAGCAAACTCTAAAGCTTCCAGAGGCTCCTACAAACTGACCTGGACCTGAGGCCCTGTCCTGCTGCCCGAGGAGTCACGGCCAGGGCCCGATGGACATCCAGGAACTCCACGTTGTGGAATGTGTCCTAGGCCCTGGCTTAGTGCTGCAGATTCTGCTAGCACCAGTATCCTCCCGTCTAACCCTTCTGATGGCTCCCTCCCACCTATGGAGCCCAGACTCCTTAGCCAGGCCATCAGGAGCCAGCCTCACCCCCTGGCACCACCACTTCATGACCCCAGCGAGCCAGGCTTTCCACCTCCCTGCCTGACTCAGGGGCCTCCCTCTCCAGGAGTCCAGCATCTGCCTGCCCAGTCCTGCTCACCACAAACGCTGCTGCCTCCCTCCTCTTCCCAGGCTGTCCTAGTCAGAAGTGCCTCTCCCGCCCTGCCCTCTCCCTGCCTCTCCCAATCTGCCATCCCTGAGTGTGTCTGTGTGCCTGTCCTCCTGCTGGCCTGGGAGACTCTGGAGCACCTCTGGCACTGGCCTGGACCCCCATTACTCACTGCATCAACATTGCCTTTAATGGCTTCAATCCGTCCCGCAAAGAACAGGAAGATGGCACCCTGTAACGACACACGCGTGGATCCCTGTCTGTGTGGGCCCACAGGGCACATGCGGGCTGGGGGTCTCCGGCAGGAGAGGGGCTCACCTTGGGGTATCGCTTCAGGTAGGGCTTCAAGAGCTTCTCTGCCTCCTCAATGTTGACGTTCCCAGTGCCTAAAGGATGTAGGGACAACACCACGTGTCACCACCGTTGGCTCTTGTGACCCAGCAAGCTACTGGGGGCTTCTCAGTGCCTCGTGTCCCCCTCTGTGAAATGGGGATGATAATCTTCTATATCCAGGGTAACAGGAGGATTAAATAAGGGCAGTTCTTGCCCCTGGAACACCACACGGCTCAGAACTAAGAGCCCATATCCCCAAGACTGTGCCCAGAACCCCAAGGGCCTGCCTACAGGGTCCTCACACCTCTCCACAGTGGGCATGATCATCCCCACTTCACAGATAAGAAAACTGGGCTGGAACCTGGTCTTCCTGTGAGGAAGGGAAAGGTTAACAGTCCAGGCCCAGCACAGTTGACGCAGCTCCATGGTTTCTGGGTTAGGTGCCCCATTCCCAGTCCCAGACGCCTGGCAGGGTCTGCAGCCTCTTGCCCTTGCGCCCCCCTGCCCTCAGAGCCAGCCAAACCCCCAGGCTCCAGGCCTCAGCCAGAGGCGCACCTACCCAGCACAAAGATGAGGAAGGTGTGATAGCAGAGCAGCAGCATGACACAGAGCACGGCGCGGAAGCTGTGCCCCGACGCACCCTCCTCCAGCTGCAGCAGCCCATAGTCCTGCGGAGCAAAGGGGGACAGGCTGAGGCAAGCAAGGCCCAAGCTCCCCAGGCCACTGAGCCAGGACCCTGGGAGTCAGCTGTGAGGCCCATGCTGTGGGGGCAGGGGCAGGAGAGCACTGGGCTCCAAGTCTGCAGCCCTGGGGGCCTAGTCAACTGCTCACAGGCTGTGCAACCCCAAGCAGGTGGCTGCCCCTCTCTGTGCCTCAGCTGCCTTCCTGAGGGCAGGGGACACGGCTGCCAAGGCCAGGGCAAAGCCCTCGGGGCCAGATGTGCCTCACCACCTCAGCAGCCCCTTCCCCCTTCCGCCCCTGGCTCAGCTGCTCAGCCAGTGGTGGGCACTGAGGCGCCGAGCGTCCAGGTCTGGTTGGGGAAGAGGAACAAGGAGGTGGATAATCTTAAGCACAGGCTTGTAGCACAGATGGGGCCACAAGGCCTGTAGTCTGGGAAGGCTTCCTGGAGAAGTCTCCAGTGCCTGGGGTGGGGTGGGGAGGGGCAAGAGGCCCACCTGTGTCCCTGACTGTGGTCTCTGCCCCTCTGTCCTCCAGGGTGTTCTTGTTCTTTCTAGCATACAAATCTGACTGCCTCACCCCTGCCTGAAACCTCCACAGCTCCCTTGCCTTCAGAATAAAGATGAAGCCGGTTGGTGCTGGGGTTTCTCCGCTCTGGCCTTGCCACCCTCTCCCTGGCCAGGCTGGCCACCTGCCCCACCTCCCGACCTTCCTCATGCTCTTCTCCTGTCATCATCCTAAAATCCTACTCATGAGCCAAGTACCTTCTGAAGAGAACACTGCAAGGGGCCTTCAGAGCCTCTGGCCAGTGTTTCCTGGGCCATGGGATTTAGAGGTCTGTGGACAAGCATGAGGCACAGAGCCCCAAGTTTGAGAGGCTTCCCTTCTCGGCGCCCCGTCTGCCCTCCTGACTGTGACCAGGAGAAAGCCTCAGGGCTGGTGTGTGCTCAGAGTCACTCTTAGCTCTAAGCTCCTCTCCCAGAGAGAAATGGCCTTGGCAGACCTCGTCATCTAGCTTTTGAGAGACTGCTTGGTTCTTATAATATTTATTATGATTTTGTTCTTACTGTGCCAAATAACAAGGGTTTCCTCTGTCGCAATGAGTAAATGTAAGTAAAAAATGAGCCACTTTGGAGAAAAATAATACAAAAATAATAATATAAAGGTTTGTGGACAAAGCAAAAATCAAGAAGGGTCAGAGAAAGTCCAGGTTTCATAAACACTAAAAAAAAGCCCTTTGTCTTACTGAAAAGAGGACCAAAATAAGGTGGGACTTGCTCAGAGTCACAGGGAGAAAGGGATGAAGCTGGGCTGACCTAGGCTTCCATGTCAGTGCTCCTTGTACTGCACCAGGCCTCCTCCACCATGGAGCCTTCCCCACCTGCTACCTGGCCCTCATGTTCCTGCCCTCAGCAGAGCATCTGGGGGTGCCTGAGTCCTGGTTTCTGCCCTCAAGGCCTGATGCATAGCAGGGCTTCCCTTGGGCATCACCCAGACCAGAAAATGGTCCCAGGGGAAAAAATTTGCTCAAAGGAAGAAGGATTAGATTTCTGACACCTGTCAGGCTCACAAAGCATGACCCCAGGCCACTGAACAGGGTGCTCTTCACACCCAACCTTACCCTAGAGTCTCTCTACCCTGGGAGGGGGTTGGCAGGGAATCACTGACCTCACTGACTGGAGAGGAGACTGAGGCCCAGAGAGGTTTGGGCCCTGTGCAGGGCCATACACTAAGGGGACTGAGCCAGGGCTGGCACTCTGGCCCCACAGCCCCTCAGCCTCCCCCTGTCCATCCAACTCCCGACCTGGAACCCCAAAAGTCAGGTGGTTACCTTGTTTCCTGAAAACCCCACAAACTCCAACAGCCGCAGGATCCTAGTGGGAAGCATGGACAGGGTCTGCAGGAACAGAGGTGGGTGGGTACATGGAGGGGCAAAGATTGCCCCTCCAACTCCCCAAGCCCCCAGAGTCCGGGACAGACCTGGGGTACAGGCCTTCTCTCAGAATGCCCACAGGGAGGCACTGCATTTCCTGGAAAGCCAGCTTCCTCAGACAGACAGGCACTATAGCAGGACAACTGGGAGAGGACTGTCTAAATCCTAGTCTCACTACTCACAGCTAGGCAAATTATATAGCCATTCTGTGCCTCAGTTTCCTCATCTGTAAAATGGAAAAAATACCAGCTCCTCTCTCTGCCACAGGGGTGCTGTGCAGGTGGATCACGTGAAGTGTGCAATGAGGCCTGCACTAGCAGTAGCCATTCTTACTGCCATAACACTGGATCCCTACTTTGCACAGGTGCTGTCACTGCACTTGATCCTCAGAACAGCACTGCAAAGAAGGGATGACATGTACTGACCCTTGTGACAGGTGCAGAAGCAGAGGTGCAGTTAAGTGACAGGACATGTCCAAGGCCCCACAGCTCCTCCAAGTTGGAGCTACTTGAACCCAGGACAGTCCAGCCATGACCTGGAACCTGGAGTGGAGGAGGGACTCCTGCCCCAAGGCCTGCTCTTAGAACAGGCTCTCCCTAGAGGAGAGAGCTGCCCCCCACCACACACACACACTCTCAGATGGGTCCTTGCCCACCCAGGACCAGACATTTAAATTGTCTGGAAGCAGCTCCTCCTCCTAGGAGCAGGCACTGCTCATCTGACCCTCCCTGCCTTGGCTCACACTGTTCCCTCTGCCTGGAAAACTTCCTCTGCCTACAGATCCTTCTCCATCCAGTTCAAATACTACCCCCTCCGTGAAACGCTCCCCGGCTCCCCCAGGAAGGGGTCCTGGCTCTCTGTTCCCTGTGGGTCATTAGCAGTTTCCAGGCCTGACTCCTTCCCTGCCATGGGTCAGTGTTGAAACACTAGCTCTCCAGGGTGGAAAAGGCTTTGACTTATTATGTTTGTCCATTTCTGGAGCTATACATGCTGCCAACATGGTAGACTTCAAGCTTCAGTATGACTCAGGAAGAAACTATACCGCCACCCGACCCCAGCTGTGAGCCCCCCAGGCTGGCAATGTCTGCTTTATTGCTAGGTTTGGGGCTGGCCCAGCCGCCCAGCACAGCCCATGTGTACAGCAGGGAAGTGAGGGCCCCGCTCACCAGGTTGAAGGCTCCCACACCGAGCTTCACCCCTCCTTCAAAGTGCCTGTGGTTCTCTCCCTTGCAGTATTGTGAGGACTGCACCAGGCTGTCCAGCTCCCTGCAGGGGGGTGCAGAGTCCCGTTACAGCCTCACCCTGGGCGCTGGGTCCCAGTCCATCTGGGCCCCATGTTGCCCCCAGCTCCCAGCTGATACCAGAATGCCCTGGTGACAGATTTACAACAGTTCTGGCAATCCAGAGCTGATATTTGAGCAATTTCTAACTGCATCTTCCCCTGTATTAACACACTCATGCCCCTGAATTTCAGCCATCTCTACCCTAGTGCACCTGCCTTGTCTAACATCTAGGCTTTTGTCAGTGCTCTGCATTCTGTCTAGAACAGTTTCTTGACCTTGGCACTACTGACATCTTAGGCTGGATAATTCTTTGTTCGGGTGAGGGATGTTTAGCAGCATCCCTGACCTCCAACCACTAGATGCCAGGAACAGTCTCCCCTGAGCTGTGGCAACCTGAGCTCCAGATATCGCCAAATGTCTCATGGTGGCAAAACTGCTAACTATGAATCCCCTCCTTTAAGGGTGGGAGGGAGATGAGGCCAGGAGGACGGGGGAGCTCCCAGGAACGATTCAGCAATGACCCAGGCCTTTATTCCAAGAGCAAGAGAGCCTTGAGGGTTGGCAGGGGGTGGGCTGACAAGGTTCGTGCTTTGGAAACATCATCTGGCAGCTGGTGGGGAGGCCGGGGGGCCAAGATACAGTCTGCTTTCTCTAACACATACCCAGCACAGATCCACAAGGTAAGGTGGTGCCTAATGCTACATGGAGGGTTATATACCCCAGCAATACCTTGAAATCAAATTCTCAGTATCTCTACAAGGAAATAGTTATGTTAAATGGAGAAAATAAAGATGATAAATAATCTCAAGTCAATTCAACTGTTAACGGAAAATGAGTTTTAACGTAAAACTTAGGGGGGAAAACTGGCCTTCAGGGTTTTTTAGATTTTGGAATTGTAGATAAGGATTGTGGTACCATGTTGAGTAAAAATGTTTTGGACTAAGTCTTCATTTTTTTCATCCATACACCTGGCGTACGCCTGGCCCAGTGCTGAGATGGCAGGGAAATGACCAGGCCCTTTGCCAACTTGGGGAGGGGTATGTGTATGCTTGGACATCCCTGTGCCCTGGAGGGGTCAAGGAAGGCTTCATGGGAAAAGCTACATTTGGACTGGGCCTTAACATATGTATAGGAGTGTCTTTGCCCCTATCCCTTGAGACCCAGCTGTTTGTGCAGAATCTATGCCTTAGTTTCCTCTAGTTCAGGGTCACAACAGAGTAAGCACTCAACAGAACCAAATGAACAGATGTACCCCGGAAACCACAGGTGTAATATTCCAGAAAACTGAGAGGGCACAGAAATCTGCCTGAGGTCTAGGCTTCCTGGCTCCAGCCAGCACTCTCTTCCCCCGACGGAACAGCCTGAGGGGCACAGGGCAATAGATTCTGTGGCCCCTGGCCCCCCGAGGCCAGCCACACTTACTTATAGGTCTGGTAGCTGTTTCGAACTTTGATGCCACCCTTGATGAAGCTCACCATGTTCTCATCCTGCAGGAGGGAGACATGCTAGGAGCCAGGCCTGGGTGAGTGGCCACAGGCTTGAGACTGACCCTCCCTGGGCCCAGCCACATGAGGGGCCCTGGGAGATGATGTCAGAGGTCAGCCAAACCAGGTCTCCCAACCCCTGGGACTTGAGATAAGGGTCTTGCTTGCTAAACAAAATCTCCAAATGCATGGCTTAACCACAGACCCCATTTACCAGCCTTGCTTGTACACATACTATGTACTTGGAAAAGGGCATGGAGGAGACACCCCTAGGGGTTTAGGGGTTAATAGTGCCTCATCTAGGGAAGGAGTATAGGAAAAGGAAGAGAGATGCTCACTTTTGGACTGTTCGTGTTTTTTTACAACAAGCAAGTATTTATCACATTTGTAACTTAAAACACCAATACCTACAGCCCACTTGGCAGTTTCAATCCTGGGTGTTCACCCAAGAGAAATGGATGGACATGGTCTGCTGATGTCACTTTCAAGAATGTTCTTAGCACCACTGTTCAAAGCAGCCAACAACCAGAAACAATCCCAATGTCTTTCAGCAGGAGAGAGGACGAGGAAACAGGTATATTCATAGAAAGGACTATTACACATAAGGCTGAGTGAAGAAAGCATGTCCCAGACAGCTTGAGGCCTTAAGAAGCTCAAAGCCAACTAAAATGTAATATGCTATTGAAACAAGCTGAGAAAACTGTTTTTTAAAAGTACGGTAGGGGATGATAAACACAAAACTCTAGGTAGTGGTTTCCCCCTGTAAAGGGAGGCAGGGGAGAGGGGGAGGAGGAGCCCAGAGGGCAAGGAGGGCTCTGTAGCTCTGTACTCCACTTGGGTGGAAGGTTCACGGCGTCTGTTAAATTATTATGTATGATAGCAGAATAAACAAAATAAAGGGACATTCATGGTGCTGAGCCTTAGTCCCCACCTGAACCACAAAGGGGCTGATTGTGGCTATAGACCCTTCTGGCTGGGACATGGTGATGCATATGGTGAGGGGGTGAAATCCCCAGACTGCTTGTACAATAGAGGGCTCCTACCTGTAGGAAGGTCAGGGCTGCTCTCTGCAGCAAGCACTCTGCATAGCAGACCTCAGCATGGATTTCCTCTGCAGGGAGAAAATCAAAGCCCTGAGGCCTCCTGGAACTCTTGGCAGGAGGCTTAGGCCAAACCCTCCCCACCCCCACTTCCCAAAAGGCAAAGGGAGCCTGAGTCAGCACCCACCCCCTCCCGCCCCATCAATAACCGGCTCTGGCTCCTTCGTGGCACTCACCACTGCCCCAGATGAGCTTCCCCACCACCCAGAATGGCAGTACAGGACCCTCTGCAGGTGCTGTGTACCAACCTCCCCAACAGTGCTGGGCAAGAAGGTGCTGGGTTGAACAGATCAACAAAGATTCTGGTCCAGGGAAGCCCTGGGCTATGCAAGTAATTAAGGGCAGGAGAGCTTACAGAGCCCAGGGAGTCAGGGAGACTTCCAGAAGAAAGGGCAGCTCAGCTGAAAAAAGAATGGAAGGTATGGTGGGAGGAGCCTTCCAGGCAGAGACCCAGGCCAGCCAAATAACTCAGGTGTTTGAGCACAGAAGGTTGAAATGGGGTGATGTGGAGAAATTTAGGGGCAGGGAAAGATGAGGGGTGGAGGTCTGGCTGCAAAAGGCCTTGAACCCTGGTGGAGGACTGCAGATTGACCCTGTGGCAGCAGGGAGCCACGGAAGGTATGATGGAGGGAGTGGGACTGTCACACGCACTGTTCCATGCTGGACCTTCACGGGCCCTTGAGGTGGGGCAGGCTGTTTGCTGCTGCACTGAAGAGCCCCAGGCTGCTCACAGCTGGCAGCTGTCATCTCCAGGACATCCACCTGTGGCCATAGCAGGGAGACGCCACACAGGCCCTGGCAGCCCAGACCATGCCATCAGCGGCTCTCAGCCATCTCACTCCAGTGTGTCAGCCTCCAAAACCACCCTCCTCTCCAGGGCGTGTGAGATCACCATGGTAATTAAACCAGTAAACCTAACTGTACACACAATCCTAAGTCCACCCTGGCCTGAGTAGCTAAGAGCAAGGACCTTGTGACAGCATTTTCTTTCCTCGACTTCCAGGTCCTCAGCAGGTAATGCTGTCAGGTGAGCGAGTCTCACAACCCCTCGCCTCACCTGAGCCACTCCTCAAGCGGCCCTGGGTCTGACCCATCTGTGTCTAAGCAGCTGAGCCAGGGCCGGGCCCCTCAGAGGGATGGCTGTGAGGGCCTCTGCCCCTGCCTGCCCCTTCCTGGGCTGGAGCCGGGCTGCCTGGGGTCAGTGGGGTTGAGGGGACATCCCAGGCAGCACACCTTCTGTGAACTGGTCCATAGTGGGTCGGTGCACCAGGTTGCTAAAGGAATCTGTTACAGAGGACTTCTTCCGGTGCCTAAAAAAGAAAAGGGGACCTCAAGTCATTCAGTGAGGGTAAGCACGCAGGCATGGACTGCATCTCCTGTCCCTTCTATAGGGCTCCACACACACACTGGCAACTCCCCTGAATCCTGGCTTCCTCACACCCTTTCCCCTGCCAGTGCCTCTTGTGGAGCCTTCTTCCCTCCTCTTTATGTCCCAACCAGTTCCTATTTACCCTTTAGGACCCAGCTGTGCCATCACCTCCTCCAGGAAGCCTTTCCTGCCCCTCTGGCTAGACCCCCAGGACCCCACGAGCTTCCCTACATCATGCTGGGTTATCACTGTCTGTGTCCAGGGCCTGGCTGGGGGCAGGCGTGAGTCAGTGACCACCTGTGCACAGACAGTGAGGGCTATTTCTTCATTCATTCAAGCTGGTACTGTGCATTGTGATTGGTGTCTTCATTCGGTCCCCACAACACAGCATTTTATAGACTGTCATCCCCATTTTACAGGTAAGGAAATTTGAGTCCAGAGAGGGACTTGCCCAAGGTCAAAGAGCTTATGTAACACAGGCAGAATCTGTCTTCTCCCTGTCAGGCTTGGCTCCTGGAAGCCTCTCAGGGACTGGCTCAGACAATGAGGCTCTGGAGGCAGTGCTGACAGGAGTAGCTCTAGGCGCTTGGGAAACCCATCCTCTTAGCCAAAAGCAACATCACTAATATGGCATTTTAGGCACTGCAGCAGGCCAAGGTAACAGAGTCGGGCCTCATCACCCTCCATCCCTGCCCGGCCCCTGGCCCTGACCTCTGACACAGCATCTGAGCCTCCTTCATCATGTTGCCAGCAAGCAGGATGTCCTGAGGGTCAAAGGTCATCATGGCCTGCATCTCCAGGATGGTGGCATATGTCAATGAGTGGTACATGCTGTCCTTGGTTCTGCCAGAGAGAAGGTACATGAGTGCCAACTCCTAGAACATCAGAGGTAGCCAGCCCTGTGTCAACCGCCCGCCACCCTCCTGCCTGGGTGGAAATGGAGGTCCAGAGAAGAGAAAGGGCTCTCCCGAGGTAACAGCCCCTGAGGGTCAGCCAGGTCTGACCCTTCAAAAGCACTGCTGCCCAAAAGACTATGGATCCCAGCTCCTCTTCTTCCTGTTGAGTGGCCCTAAAGGATTTTCCAAATCTGAGCCTCAGTTTCTCATCCATTCTGTAGGGGTGGCAGCAGCAAGGTTGCCGTGAAGACTCAGAAGGGGCAGCAGCATGCTGATCCGAGGCCGTACTCAGGCATCCAGGGCCTGTGTCTCGCCTTCTGCCTCTCCTCCCACAGGCTGAGCCCAGGTCCTGTCTGTGGGATGTCTTCTATCCTCAAGGCCCACCCTGGGCTTGCCCCATCCTTGTTCCCTGGACCTCACTGGCCTTGCCACCTCCTGTCCCTCCCCGACCCATTATCTGGTCGTCACCCTCATTTTGGCTTCTGCACCCCAAGAAGTAATGCTTGAATCTGAGGCCCAGCACAATGCAGGCCCTGCCCACCATGATCAGGTCACATTCCTTGGCAACAGGGAACCACACGCACTCTCAAGAAAATCCCTCCTCCAGGCCTTTGCCCACACTGCTCCCTCAGCTGAGATACCCTTCTCTACCCCCAAATCCCTTAACCCTTCTGAAAAAGGCCACAAATGCCTTGAGGGCCACTGGGAATCCAGGGCTCCCTCCTCAGGGGGCATGTCTGTAACTGAGGCATGGGCCATACTGAACACACATCAGCAGAGGCTCGGCTCTCTCCCCAGACTCTGGGCACCTCAAGGACAGAGCTTGTGTGGGGCTTGCCTCTGTCCTGGGCACCTGTGTGACAGGGCTGAACAAGCCGGCCTCAAGAAAGCTTCCCTTTCTTCTTCCCACTCCCTTGCTCCTCCACAGCCAGGACCTCTCAACTAAAGGGTGTGCTGGGGAAGTGGGGGTGGCATTTAGCCTAACACAAGGAAAGAAGAGCAGGCAAGGAGGGATGGGAACAATGCCAGTCCTTCTGTCTACCTGGGAAAGTCACAACATTCTCAGCCTTGATTTATGCTTCTGCAAAATGGGGACAATAATGTGGCCCTGTTTGGGTCCATGTGGGACAGGCTAGGGATTACCCCTGCCTGGCACACAGTAGGTTATTATAGCGGTTTTCGCTCCCTTCCCTACACCCCCTTGTTAGTTATTTACAAACTTCCTCAGTGCCAGGCTTATGCTGGGAACTCCAGGAGAAGGAGAGATGACTAAGGTTCATAAGATTCTATCGTGAAGTCATGCGGCTTGACCCATTTCTTGCCTTCTGAACTTTCATGAAACATCTTTGTGAATTAAGTTGCCTTTTTACTTATGGGTGACCCTCAGGTGATATAATCCATTCAAATCAAAGGTTTTTGAAGGAAACCAAAGCTTCCACCATAGTTTTTTTGAAGGAAACCCCTCAGCAGCCCTGGGAATTGTCAGGACTCCTCCCAGGTCTTTGCTAGAACTGCTTAATCTGAGGGCAGCAGCTTGTAGAGAGGAGGCCATGGCCTGTAGTGGGGACAGAACTAAGGCTGCAGAGTCCCTCAGACAGGCTGAAATCTTGGCTTTGCCAGCCACCAGCTGTGTGATCCCACTGAGTCTTGTAGCCTCTCTGAGCCTCAAATTGATCCTCTGTTGAATGGATACAATAACCCTTCTCTCCTAGGACTTTGGGTGGCTTAAAAAGGCTGCCTAGGTCATGGCTACATCACTAATGCCCAATAAATGCGAGTCCCTTCATGAACTGCCACAGTCAAGGGTCACTGCCCTGGATAAAAACTTTCTCCTTGAGGAGGGGTTTTCTTGGCAGCACACAGACACCCCCCACCCCCTCCAGATAATCTCCAACTCTCAAGCCCCTTCCTCTTTCTTCCTTTCCTCTCCCAGACTGAGGTCAGACCCAGCCCCACCCTCCCACCCTGCTGCTGGGCCCAGGAGGGCAGCTGGCAGGCAAAGTGGAATTTCCAGTCTGAGACCCAGGGCTCCACCATGCCCCTGCAGCTGGGAATCCTGGCCCCTTTCCAGCTATGGTCTGGCCTGGAATTCAGGGGACAGAGGTATGACAACCCCCAGACCTCAGACACCCCAAGTTTAACTTGCATGCCACAGAGTTCGTATTTGCATATACAGCATCCAGATCCCTGGGAGCAACAGACTGCCACCTCTGAGCTAGACCCAGCTCTGTGACACAATGCCCACTGGGGCCCACCAGCTGTCATGGGAGGAATAGTACTAGAAGAGACGTCAGAAGGACAGGGTGCTGAGAGCTGGGACTCCTTAGCCACCTGGAGGTCAGCTGAGTCCAGGCGCCTCCAGCCTTTCCTTCCACCGGCAGCCAAGGCTCAGGCCCTGTCAGCCCTTGTCCCCGCTGTCAGGGCCTTCTGACTCTGACCAGCCCTCACTGCTCCTTCCTGGGGAACCCCTCTCCAGTCCCAGCCTAAGGCTCACCCCCTGAGGGCCTCTCTGGCTGGAGCCGCTCACAGCTGGAAGGCAGAGAGGCAGCCCTATGCCTCCAAGCTTCCCCCCTTCATCCTCATGGAAGCCTCCCTTACTTCCAGGTCCTCTCAGACCCCATCTCACTGCCCTCTTCTCTAGCCCAAGCACTTTCTGGGGCCTCATATTCCCAGTCTAATGTCCATCACCCTGCCCTCTTCCTTCTAGGACCTGCCTCACCTCTCTCCACTTCAGCCAGTCCAAGGCCCTCATTTCACTGCCAGGCCTTTGCACAGGTTGTTCCCTCTACATGGAAATGCCCTCTCCATCTGGCTAACTCCTCAATCAACCTATCTCAGCTTAAATGTCACTTCCTCCAGGAAGCCTTCCACAGCTGGCTTCATGGGTGTGTGACAATCTGTGCGGCTACACAAGGCCCCACACCTAAAAAGGCCCACACCTAAAAAGTAGAATACTTGTTTACTGCTCTGTTGTCGTCATCTTGAAATCCTTAATAATTTTTAAACAGAGGATCCCACATTTTCATGTTGCAATGTGCCACAGAAATTATGTGGCCAGACCTAACGCGTTCCTGACCAGCCCCTTCCCACATGAGCTGGAGTCCCTGGATAACTCTCAGTACCACCCCTTATTGCTTATGTCAGTTTCCCTGCAGAACCCTGAAAAGGGCCCACATCTAGCTCAGTTCTGCAGCTTCAGCACCCAGCATACTATTGGGCGCATGAGGGCTTTCACGTGGTGTTGCTCCACCAGCAACAGGCGCCCAACCACCACATGCCATGGATCGCACCTTGACCTCATCATCACTCCACAGAATGGCTCTGTTCTGGAGTCTTACATGGTACCCCCACCCTCCCAACCACAGCCTCCCTGCTGTCCTGCTCTCTCACTCATCTCTCCCACTGCCCATCCTCCCACCTCCAGCCAGTCCTCTCCTCCTGACCCCTCAGCTTAGCCTCCTCATTCCAGCCACTCTCTGGTAGAAATACTAACTGCTCAGCCTTCCAACCTGCTGTTGCACTGGGCCTTGGAGCCACACACCTGCCCACTTTCTTCATGCTGGCACAACACAACGCTGGAGGAAGTGGGCCCAGCAAACTCAGCCAGACTAAGCACGGGACTTTGCCTCTTCCATCAGAGGACTCCCAGGACACCACATGGACACACCCTGTACTTCCTGTGCTCTCCCCACCCCCACACACACCTGCTCTCCCTCCTTCACTCCAGTGTGGTGGAGGAGACAGGGGTGAGGCTTTCCATCCACCACCTGCTCAAGATCCAAGACAACCCAGGAGGCAGAGAGTGGCTTGTGAGCCGATGGACCTGGATTCGAATCCTTGTTCTGCTACTTACCAACCATGACCACCTTTTTCATTAAGAAAGTAAAATAAACTAGGAGCTACTTAAAGAAGTGACAAACACGAAGCAAATGCCAAGGCGAGGTTAGTGGGTGCTTGGTGAGCCCAGGTACTTGCTGAGAGCAAAGTAGAATAACAATTAAATGAGACACCATGTGTACAATGAGGAACAGTGAATGAAACTAGACTCTAACATCTTTGAAGGAGATCATTTTTGAGCAAGAATTATTTTCTCTAGACCAGTGGTTCATAACAGAGAAGGGAATGTATTTTTATTGTTCTTTCCCCTCCCGAGCCCCCATCCTGGACATTTAGCAATTTCTGGAAACTTTTTTTGTTGTGACAAGACAGGTTGGGGAGTGTGCTAATGACATCTACTGTTTGGGGAGAGAGCTCTTAAACTCAAAAAGAAGGAAAAGATTCTTTTTGGAATGAGGCCGGGGTTGAGATAAAGAGAAGCTACACTGCCTTAAGTGTGAGGTAAAAGCCCCATGGGAGACTGGTTTCTGTGGCACCTCCTTCAGGGCAGGTGTTTCCTCTGAGGGGCCTGAGTTGCCCGACTACTGGTAGAGGGCCCTCTGAGATGAGGGAGGGCGAGGCAGCCCCTCAGTGAGGAACGGTGTCTGTGAGGAGTCCATTTAGGGACAGATAATGACCAGGAGGGAAATGCAGCCATGGAGCCTTCCAAAAGCACTGCAAGGGGAATCTGAAGGTTGGTAATGGAGCAGGATGGGGCTCTGCCTGCCTCAGGCAGTGGCCACACTCTGGCTACACATGCGGTCCAGCCCCACCTCAAGCCCAGATCCCCTCAGAGGTGTGGGAGCTGCTGCCAGAGGGATTGTTGACTTACTGTGAGACTCATGACCATCACGCCCTGGAATCCCTGCCCCCAGACCTGGGCCAGTGACCCCAGACAGGAGAATGATGGGTTAATCAAGTCCAGAGATACTGAACAGGTCAGGCTTGGGGACTTGGGGAAAGCAGCCCCCTCCCTCAGCATTTGCTTTCCCTGGAGGGTTGGGAGAACTAGGTATGGTGAGGACAACCTGGAGCTGAGAAGAGGGGATTAGGCGAGTAGGCAGCAGGAATAATCAAATCCCTGTTCCGACCCTTCCCCAGTCCCAGAAATCAGGCGGCCAGGGGTTCTCTGTCCAGGCTGCTGAACAAACGATTCTTCCCTAGAGAAGCTGACAGGTGCGGCCAGCTTTCTACACAACCATCCAAAAGCCAACCCCACCAATTACAAGGATGCTTGGCTCAGACTTGCCAGCTGGCCTTTGAGTAAACTCATTCTTAAATATGACTGGCCAGTCAGCCAGGAACTATTGCATTTGAGGAAAGGCCCCACAAGAGGATTCCCCCACTAAGCAGAAAAAGGGAACTTATAGAAATCTGAGATTACAGTGGGAAAGAGTAAAACATTTAAAAAGATAGTATTTTGTTATGATAATAATAATGATAAATATTTATTAGAGTGCTTATTACATGCCAGGCCCTGTTCTTAGGACTCTCACATTCCAAATACAGATATAAAAACAAAGAGTACCCATAAACCAAGAACAAGACGTTTTAGGGAAAAAAACATTCAGAGAACAATAAGGAGTACTAGGAAATTCATCGTATGATTACAGAAAAATAAGAAAAATCAATAGAAGGATTTAATGATAAGGTTGAAAAAAATCTCCCAAAAATCAGAGAAGAAAAAAGATAAACCAGTGTGAAATGGGGGGCTGATAAGAGGCTTCAAAGAGCACTGACCCAGAAGACCCAAATCTGACCTCAGGAAAGCCCAAGAAAGGGTAACACAACTTGGAGGGGTCATATGAGAGAATCTCCTGGAACTGAAAGTCTCCAAATAAAAATATCAAATACAAAGACCTATACTTTGGCACATCATTGTGAAATTTCAGATTTGTAGAAATAGAGGAAAAGATCCTAAATATTCCTGGAGAAGGAAAAAGACCACATGCAAAGTTAGAAGAATTGGAGTTCCTGTAGCTACAAGAGAAAACAGAGGTGCAATGACTTTAAACTTCTGAGGGGGAAAATTGTATTCAAGCAGATATTTCTTAGGAAATTTCTAGAGGACATGCTTTGGTAAAATGAGGGATGATATGAGGGAGAAAAAGCAGGGTCAAGGAAACAGGAGAGAAGCAAAGTGTGTTCCAGGAGACAGCTGGGAGGTGGCCAGTACACATGTCTGTCCTCCAGGGAACAAATTTCCAGGAAAAGGAGGAGCTGAGCACTTACCTGATAGTCTGAGCATTTAGGGTAAAAGTCATGATAGCATGATCTGGTAGAGTGATTATAAAGAGCTCAGGATGAATGTACAGCACATTAGGCAAATGAAAACACAATTATTAACTCCAGAAAGGAAATGTAATCTTACAATGTTCCATTTGTCTCTGTATTGAGCACTGATTACATAGTTATAATAATGGAAACACTGATCACTAATTCAGCCAAATACTGTGATATAATGATAAAAGGAGAATGAGGAAAGGGAAGTGGGGCAGGGATATAAGAAAGGTAAATTCTTGCCCACCAACAGAATATTTAAAACTTAAAAGTAAACAAGTAAATTTTATGGTATGTGATTTATATCTCAATTTAATTTGTTTTTGAAAACCTGAAAATAGTCACAAGGAATAGCAGTGTAATCATATTATTTAGAAATAAGGCAGTAAACACTAGACAAAATGGCTAAATGACTGTCATTACTACCCTTAAAGTAACCAGTAAGGGCAACTCAAGTCTTTAGTACTTTGGGGAAGAGTAAAGAAAAGGACTGTGTTAGAGCTGATGGGAAGAAACCCAGTGGATTCAGTGGGAACAAGAAATCAAACGGAAGTGGAAGAGGCCGTTAGAACTAAAGGGGAAGGAAGTCACAGAGATGTTGGGGAAGGCCTGGTGGTCATGGCTGTGGAATGGGGAGCTGGGCCGTTTTTATGGGACCTGCAGGGTCATGGTGACCCAGCACACTGAAGGCATTCAGCTCCGCTGGGCTCCTCTCACGTGAGAGCTCTGGTTCCTCATGACCCGACACTCCCCTCCCTACACACACATAAGCACATGCATGCATGCACCCACACCAGCCCCCATGCCCAAACTGGGCTTTAAGCCTCACCTGGGCTTGAGGTAGCTGAGTGCTTCTGAGAACTGGTTGGTGAGAAAGAGATCCAGGGCAGTCATGCACTGGTCCAGGGCCTCATGGAGGCTGCTCACAGGAGTCCTGGTGGGGGAGACAGAGGGTGTGACCAGGAGCCCTCAACCCCCTACTGGCCGGAACAGAACCTCATGAGGCCCACTCAGCCTCCTGGGAGGACCTCGCATGCCTGCTGCGGGCTCCTCCAGGCAGCCCACCCCGTACTGACACAAGGACAATTTGGACCCACATCTGAGTGTTCTAAAGGCGGCAGGAGGGCAGGATGGGGGTGTCATCTGAGAGCTGGTGGAGGGGGTTGGGGAAGGCTGAGGGCAGGGGGACAAGGAGACCTTTGGAATAAATTCAGTTTAGCCCTCACAAGAGTAAAGGGAATCTTTATGGCCCTTCTGACCCATTGGGCTTTCCTGCCCCTGCTACCCCCGGGGGCACAGCCCACCCACTGAATCTCACTTCAGCCCTTTTCTTCCTCCTCCTTTAGGGACTCTCCCCTTCCTCAGGCCTGCACTCTAGAACCCTAGACAGTCACAATGGGCTGCAGCAGGCAGGGACCTATAAGAGCTGCCCAGGACTTTTAAAGCTTGGGGTCATCTTCCCACCAGGACCTTCAGTATACCCAACCCCCTTCCAGTCTTTATGCTTCTCCAGAGTTCTTCTCACCCTCTGACATATATTTTTTTAAAATTATTTTTGTGTTTACTATCTGTCTCCTTCCATTAAAATATAAGATTCCTGAGGGCAGGAATCTTTGCTTTGTTCACTGCTATATCCCCAGTACCTAGTATCTGGTACAAAGTGGGCTTTTAATGAACAACTGTTAGGTGAATGAATGAATGAATGGCCTAAGGCTAGGAGAACAAATCTCTAACCTTTCTGGGCCTACCCAGAAAGCTACCCCATCTTAGAAATGAGAGATTAAACTACGAAAATCCAAAAATCCTATCTGATGGTCTTGAGACAGGCTCTTCTTAAGGAGTCTCTTTTGAATGAGAGAAAGTTCCAAAAGGGCTTCGATGACCTCACTGGCAGGAGATCCTTTTCCCCCAAAAGTTAGTTGGGAAAAGTCCCTTTCCACCAGGTAAACTCCTACACATACCTTAAGACCCAGCACTAATGTCTCCTCTTCTGTGATGCACCAGCAGATCCTCCCAGGCAAGTCCAAGCATGCATCTTGTTCAAAACCGAACTCTTGTTCATTTTCCCAAATCTCTTCTCCCCTAGTCTTTGCCATCTTAATAAACAACACCCTTCTCTACCAGTTTCTCAAGCCAGAAATCTGATAGTCATCCTTTACACATCCCTCTCCCTGGCCTCTGTCATCTACTCCCTCACTCAGCCCTATCAGCTCTACCTCCTGAACACTCTTACTCCACCCTTCTGTGCCCAGTGAGGACCACATTGTCTTCACCCAGGTGTGAAGGAAGACTCCCCCTTCCCCTGCCGCCCCCTCCCATCTCTTTTCTCTTCCCTTTAGACCATTTTGCTCTCTGTTTCATGTCTCTTAACTCTCTTCTTTGCCATCTCTTTGATTCTGTTAAGTTCTGAGTAATTTCTTTTGATTTTCCATTTCACTAATTCTCTTTCAGTGTGTCCAATCTGCCACTTAGAGTACTGAGTTTTATTTTTCATTTCCAGAAATTCCACATGGTTCTTTTTCAAATCTGCTTGGTTATTTTGGGTGGTATTTTGTTCCCTGCTTATTGCTTCAAGTCCATCTTTGATTTATTTATACATTTTAAACACATTTACATTCTGTATCTCATAATTCTAGCATCTTAGACTCTCAGGGAAATTAATTCTTCTATTTCATGCTTCTGGTGTCTATTGCTCACAATGACTTGTTTCCTTGTGTGTTTTGTAATTTTACCGTGAGCTCCTATTTGATGGATCCCAAGGGGATCTCAGGATGAGGATCTCATGTCCTCCAGAGAGGATTTTCATTCACTTCAGCCAGGTTCCCTGGGGGCTACTGCCTGCAGACACTTGTTACCTTTTAGTTTAGTATGTCCAAGACCACAAAGGGAGTATGTATTCAGACCCAAAATTTGTGTGAGGACAGACCAATATTTATAGTTTTCTAGAGAGCATTTTTTCCCCACCAGAATGCTCATCTCCATTTGTGGGCGGGTGGGTATTTCTTTGTGGCCAGTGCCCTTATTAGCTGAGGGAGAGCCCTTTAAAGATCTCAGACTTACACCGTAGTGGCAGGAGAGCTAAGTTCCCATGCCTCATACTGTCACTGGGTAGGCCCCAAACCATACTTCCAATCCCTTGAGAGGGCTGGGTTTCTGGAATTTGTAAATATGCCAGGTTTGCTGTGGCTTCATCTCATTTACCAACCTGATTTCAGCTTCCTCTTTATTCTTGGCTTGAGAGGATTTCTTAATTCAGTGAGAGTTCAAGAATGTATTTTAAAGGATGTTTGTTGTGAACCATCCAGTCTCTGGGTAGTTTTTATAAGGGAAAATGTTGGAAGCCTTATGCGTTCTAAACTGTCCCTTTCATAATAGCCAAAGTTATCTTTTTAAAACCAAATCTAACCATGTCTCTTTTGGACTGGAAATCCTTTGCTGGCTTCCTATTACTCTTAGGATATAGACCAACTTCCTTAACATGACTAAAAAGACCCCACCAGAAACAGCCTCTGTCCCTCTCTTCAAGAAGTGGGGCATTGTCTTCCTTTGTGTGCAGGGCTTAGCCTAGTGACTGGTGTTCAGTCCACCCAGCTCTGCTGAATGAGTCAGTGTAGAGGCAGTGAGAGCTTCCTGCCCCAGGGAATTAAACTGGCATTCCCTCCTTGAACCCTCAGAAAGCCCTGGGAAGTGGGGTTATTATAAGCGCTGCTCCCCAGCCCCCCACAGATAAGAAGACTGATGCACAGAGGAGTGGTGCCAGGATTGTATGCACAAGCAGCGTTCTAACCTGAGTTTCTGCCTGAGCCAGTGCCCACCAGCTTGGCCCCAGGAAGCCAAGTCCATTGTCCTGGTTTATGTCTATCTCTAGACAATTCCAGAGCCAAGAGCCCTCCTCCCATTTCTGCACACACCCACCCACCACCTCTACCCCACACCCCCACACCCCATCAAGGAAAAGGTTCTGCCCTCTTGGTCCACCTGGAAAGATGTGCAGATGAATGGTCACCTCAGAGGCACACATTCCCTCCCCTGCAGCCCCGGCACCTTTTCTGCTTAACTGTAGTGAGGTGGTTTTAGGGTGACTGCCCCAGACTGGGAACTGCTCTGGGGCAGCCCTGGGGCTGATTTCCTCTGTCCTTCCCTCCACCAAATACCCACTAACCTCCGGCTCTGAGCCAAGCCTGGGGACACAGAGCCCACCTAGACCTGGGCCTGCCCTTGAGAAGCTCATGGTCGACAGGAGTGACAGACGCAGGCAGAGCCAGCAACAGCCTGGGCCATAAAGGCTGTGATCAGGGGAATCAATGGGGGCTGAGGAGGCCCAGAAGTGGGTGGTGGGGCTCTCAAAGAAGCTTTCTGGAAAAGTTGGAACTGAATTGAGGACAAGATGGAAAAAAGAAGTCCAAAAAGGGGAACGAGCTTGAGCAACAAGCTGGAGGCATGATACCACGGTGAGGAGGAGGCCCAGGCTGTAAGGCAGGGTCAGAGACAGCCTCTGGAAAGCCTGTTAGGTAGAGGGGTGAGGCAGGGGCAGAGATGTCCAGCTGGCCCGGGAACTCAGAAAGGCTGGAGACATTGGCCCCATTTGACTTAAAAATAGCATGAACAACATCCCATCACTACAGATGATCACTTCACGTTATCTAAATTGATGACTGCATTATTGCCCTTGATCCTCTCACCGGCCCCCAGAGGCAGGCCTCTTATCTGCATTTGACAGATTAGGATATGAGGAGAGTGAAGACAGGAGCCTAGACCCCTCCTCCCAAGAGCCTGAGAGAAGGCAGAAATGCTTTCCACAAGAGCAACCTCATCAAACCTTTCTTCAATCCTGTCACTGAAGTCCCCTCTTCTGCAAATGGTGTCCCTGTGTCTTCAAGGCCTTTTTGCCCCAAGCCACCTCACTTGGCCTAGGACAATATATTCCTGAGCTCCCAAGTGGTGATGGTGGCTTCTCCACTGGGCTTTGGGGAAACCGAGGCATGGTGAGGAGGTAGGAGGCACACTGGGCTGGATGGGGTGTGAGACAGAGCTGGTGACTAGTGCCAGGAGCTTTGACACAGCTGGGAGGCTTAAGGTGGAAGCAAGAAGGGAGCTGGAGAGTGGGAGGGGTTATCAGGCACCACCTCCCCACGTAGTCTGTAGCTGCCTGGAAACTGCTGCCTTAGTGCCTGATAGGCAGAGCGGAGTGGGGCTGGGGAACCTCAGTCCCCACTGGGAACAGAAAACTCTCCTACCCTAACCCCAGTCAGGGTGAGGTGGGTGTGGGACAGAGGAAGCAGGGCAGGAAGTCATTCAGGGAACAGACTGGAGTCAGAACTGGCTTTTCCTCCCTGCTCCACCATTCTGGGGGAACTTCGGCTCAGAGGGTGAGGCACCTGTACGCCGGGACCTGTCGCTTCCAAAGCAACCTTTCTAAATTGCAAATATGATTGTGACTCTGCCTCCAAAGAGTCCCCCTTCGCTGTGAATAAAGCAAGTATCATGTGGCATGGAGTGATGCAGCCTAGTGTGGCATGGTCTTCAAGAGCTGTGAAAGCAGACAACCCTGGACTCAAGCTGCAGCTCAGCAATGAGTTGCTGGAGAAACTTGGAAAGGTTCTTTAACCTCTGAGCCTCAGTTTTTCATCAGTGAAATGGGAATGACACAATATCTACCTCCCATGGTTGTTGTGAAGAACAATTTTTTCTCCCTAATATTATGTATTTCTATCACTTCTTTTATTGAGCAGCACTGCTTTTATAATGAAACTAAATAACTTAAAAATATTGAGTGAACATATCCCAAGACCTAGCAATTCTACTCCTACAGGGCAACTCAGAAGAACACTCACATGTGTGCAAAGGATAATCTTAGGCAAATATTCACTGTTTGAATAGCAAGACACCTCAGTGTCCATCAGGAAGATGGATAAATAAATAAATGGGGTTTTTTGCATCAGGTGGCAGATCGTATAGTCCAGCAACTGGAGACCAGAGTTGCAAGGATCAAGAAGACTAAATCCCACAACCTTAAGCTCAGTGAGAAAAAGCAAGCTGAAGAATGAGTCATGCCTTTTAATTTCATTTACATAAAAATTTAAAGGAACTACTACATTTATTTTTAGACTTACACACACTCAGCAAAAGAATAAAAACACAGAAATGACAAAACTAAAATAAAGGATGGTGATTATCTCTGGAGAGGGAAGGGCAGGGGGCTCCACCACAGAGGCATCATAGGTTTCTGCTGTGGCTTATTTCTTAAAAAGAATAGGAAATAAACGGGACACAATGTTACTATCTGAAAAAGCAGGATGGCAAGGGCAGAAAGTTCATTTTATTATTTGCTGTATTTTTCTGAATGCTTAATATATTTCATCATTTTTAAAGTGGTGGAAATTTAAACCTTGGTTTGTCCACCACTGACTCTCATACATGAGGCCAGCCCCGGTGCAGGCCTTGAGAGTGTTTTGCTGAGTGAGTGAGTGGGTGTCTATGATGAAGGCGAAATTGCTCAGACCCCAACAGAATGGCATTGACCAGGGGCAGGGACAATGGACCTATGCGGCTTCAAAGAAGAGTTGAGCCTAGAGGGTGTGCAGGGAGGCAGGTAACCATCCGTTCAGTAGGAGGAACACTTGCCAGCACTAGAAGACTGAGCTCGCTGCCCTGGAGTCCGCACAGCAGACTGAGGCGCCTGGAGTTGTAGAGGGAACTCAGGCAGGAATGTGAGCGTGCAAAGAAGAGGGTTGAATGCGGCTTCTAGCATGGAGTTCAGGATTCTTTGATAGGTGCCCTGCTCCATGCCTGCCTTTTCTACAGGAAACCACTTTTCTGGGCCCAGTGGGGTCAGCTGCTCAGTCAGGGCTGGGCAGAAGAGACTGAACCAGGTTCTAGATTTACAGACTTCAGCCCATAGCAGGAAGGAAGCAGCCAGCGTAGCCTCACTGTATTTTCCCAAACAGGGACCTTTTTTGGAAAGACCAGAAGTCTAAGGAGGGTAAAGGACTTGGCCAAAATCACACAACAAAAATGGACTAGGCAAGACTCACCAGGCAACCCTCCCCTAGGCCAGGGTGTCCCCCAGCAGTCCAACTTCCACACCCTTAGCCCAGGCCACACATACACAGGCCCTGTGGAGGCCAACAGTTGACTGGCTGGCACCAGGTTCCTCACCTCCTGGTTTCTGTGTTAGCCCTGAGGCCCTTGGCAAATATTGTCCCTGGTGGTGAGGCTCCAGGCAGGGCGGGTCTCCTCCCAGCTCATCTGGGCCAGGGCTCCACCCAGCAACCCCAGCAATTGGGGCTTCCAGCAGCCACCCCTCACCCACTGGAGCCCAGGAAAAGCAGAGAGTTGCTCCAGGTCTCCCAGCAGTGAGCAGCTGCCACTGCTACAGGGTCAGTGTAGGGGTCCTACAGGGCTCCCCAGCGGGCTGTGGTTGGGGGTGGGCAGGAGAGCCATGTGGAAATTGACCACACGCACCTTCACTACCCCAGGTCCTGCTGCACCCCGTAGGTCAGGTGGGCTCAGAGCTTAGCCTTTTAACGACTGTGAACATGAAGACGAGGGTGTGGGCTCCGGCATCAGACAGCTGGGTTCATCTCCCAGGCCCACCTCTCACCTTCTGGGTGACGAAAGACAAGTCACTTCGGAGCTAGGCTGTTTTATCTATCACGGAGGCGTTAGGAGCGCCCACCCACAGATGTAAAGGCCGTGAGGGAAGGCAGGCGGCTCTGACGCGGCTGTTACTACAGCTTCGTGAGAAAGTTGGGACCCGGAGGGGAGGCAACGACCGCGGTCCCCAGCGCCCCGCTCTCCCGCAGCCCCCTGCCCCTCCCCGGCGGCGACGGGGGCTGGAAGCCGCAGTGCGGCCCGCGGCCCGCGGGGGAGGCCCGGCCCGGCGCCCGCCCCCAGGGGCCGCCCGGCCGCGCACTTACCCCGTGGGCAGGGTGTCCGGGGCGCCGACCGTGGCCATCGCGGAAGGGGGCGGGCAGCGGCCCCCCGCCGGACGCCAGCTGCGGCCCAGGTGCTGCGGCCGGAACCCCGAGCCGGGCGCTGTGCGGCCGAGCCGCGGACGCGGCGGCCGGGGAGGGGCGCGCCGGGGGCGGGGAAGGCGGCGGGGCCGGGCCGGGCCTCGGTCTGCCCACCCGCGCGCTGGGGCCGCGGCTGGAGATTCGGGCCGAGCCGAGGGCGAGGGGGGGGCCTCGGGTCGGCCGCCTGCAGAGCGCGCCCCCAACCCCAGCTCCGACAGGAAGAGCCGCGGGCGCGCGAGGTCTGAGGGACCCCCGCCCGAGTACCCTCTGCGCACCGCCCCCGGGACCGAGAGCTGCTCCTTCCTCACCAGCCCCATCAGGGGCCCGAAAGTTCTTCTAGACCTGAGGTCCATGCCCCCTGCCGTTCCTCCGTCCCCCACAGCTCCCGCCTAGCCAGTACTCCCCACCCCCCCTGAGCCCTTCCTCATCTCAGGGCGCTGGTGGGGGGCACTCATGCAGACAGCCTCCAGAGTGAAGCTTAGATTTTAATCCCGCCCACTTGCCCACCGAGTGACTGCGTTTGCGGGAGACAAGAAGGCAAAAAACAATGCAATTTAACACTCACTGTTAGCCAGCAGTTCACACTGCCTTCTCAAGTAATCCCCATAGCTGCCATTTTACAGACAGGGAAACTGAGCCACAGAGCTCATGTGACTTGCTCAAGGTCACTCACCTAGTAAATGGCAAGTTGTGAAGGGAAACCAGCCCTCCTGACTCTGAAGTGCACGCTCTTGCCTCTCTCTCCTTGGCCCCCCTCTCCTGAATCCCCAGTGTCAGTATGGGGGTCACCCATAACACTCCTCACATGCCCACCATGTGCCCCACACTGAGGTATATGTAAGGCTGGGTTGAAGCTGACATGGTCTGGCAGAAAGAGCCGCTGTCCCATGAGGAGTTAACCCGCTACCACCTCCACGCCTCCGATGCTCTTAACGATGACTCATCAGAGCACGTGGCTGCCATTAGAGCAGTGCCTTCACAAAAGCAGGGGACAGAAGGAGGAGGGACTCCAGCACCCCTGAATCAGCCCTGATCTCCAGGATATCAGAAAAGGAATCAGGAAGAGCCTGTAGAAACTGTCATGATGGGAAGAGAGCTTGGACTAGGTCCAGGGAAAGCCAGGCAGATTGGGCCTGTTAGCAGAGGGGAAAGGGTTTAGGGTATTATTATTAAATCCAAAAGCAGATTGCCAGAGAGGGAAGTGAATTCTTACCTGCTCATTTGTAAGCAGAGGCCAGATGCTCACTTGCAAGGATCATCCCACTTCTGGAATTCTTAGACTTGGGTGAAAAAAGATGATTAACTACAAGGAGCAGGCTATGATGACATCCTCTGTCAGCTATAAGAATTCAGATAAGGGGGAATGATACATAGGCTGGAGGGGTCTAGGGGCTTTCCTGGAGAAGGTGAGCATAGAGTTGAGCCTTGAAGTTTCTATTATTTATACACAATGAAGGTTTGGAAAGGATGTACTAGATAGGAGGAGAGCATGGATAAAAGCATGGAGTGGGCAAAGGACAAATGGAGTTTGTGAAGCTGGCAAGAAGACCAGCCTGGGTGATGAGGCTGGAGGGCCCTGTCACATGCCAGGCACTTTCAAATCTCCAGGCATTTGCACATGCTATTTCCTCTGCCTGGAACACACCTTCCTCCCTTGCCACTTATTCACTCATTTAACCAGGGGTTATCAATTGGAAGGCTTCTTTGAAAAAAAAAAAACACTTTTAACCAATATAAAATTGCAGGGTCCTTCCGGAGCCTTGGGAGGGGCTAGGTGAGCAAGGAGTTCTGAAGCTTTATGCTATATTAGCTTCAAGGTAAATCTTTATTCAACCAACATTTATTAAGAACCTGCACTATGCCAAAATTCCTCTCACCCTGCAGATTTCAGTTTAGAGGCTACCTCTTTCAGGAAGCCCTCCATCCCTGGCTGGGTGAGGGGCTTTCTGGGCACACACTGTCCTAACCCCCTCTGATCTACCCTAATCACCCTGGGCTGACACCATGTGTGTGTGGAGGTGGTAGAGTGAGGTTTGTTTGTGACTGTCTGCCTTCACACTGGAAGCTTCTGGAGGGTCAGGCCTGCTCAGACACCTCTGTGTCAGTGCCTAACTAATCACCAAACACTAGCACTGGACCCAGCACTCTACCATTTTGCTCTGAGGTAATGATTATAATAATAACTGCTGTTCATCAAAGGCTAATTATGTGCTACACATGTTAAGTATGTAATGTGGCTTATCTCATTTAATGCACACTTTTAACAACCTCTCTGGGCCTTAGTTGCCTCATCAGTAAAATGGCACCCCACCTGCTTCAAAGAGTGATTGTGAGGATTAAGAATTCATATATATTATGTGCCAGCATAGTGTCTGGCATGTAGCACAGTCCTATGCAGGTGCTCTGATGGTGGCGGTAGTGCTGGTGAGGTAAATGCTATCATTCTCCCCCTATAGAGACAAAAACTGAGGCTCAGCAAGGTAAGCAGGCAAGCTGCCTTTGGAGCTGGAACTCTCCCTATACAACAGCGGCAGTGACACTAGAGCCACTCACCTGGTGAGTCAGAGCACTGGGTGGCCCACCCCTCAGGAGGGCTCCACCCAGGCAGTTCCGGGCCCCCAGGAGCTCTGTCCCAGTGCCAACCCTGGGGAGTCTGTGAGTTACCATTGTTTCTGCCTCCCAACCCAGGTGACCCTGCTCAGGTCACCTGCCCCTCCCTGCCTCAAGCTAACAGCCACACCCTGGGGTCCAGGAGAGCCTGTGAGTCCTGGGTCCCTTCCTTTCAGGCCAGAGGACTTGTGTCCTAGTGCTTTGTGCCTGGTAGATGCCAGGCCTGGTTCCTCCCATTTTCGAAACCCCACATGCAAGAACAAATCACTGGGCTCACCATACTTTTTAATGGCCCTGAGGACCTCCATGGGCTGGTTTCACCCATACTGTCATCTCTCAGCTTAAGACCCTCAGTAAATATCTGTGTAGTGAAACCCCTTCACAATGCTCCAGAAAGCTGGTAGCATTTTCCATCCTACAGGTGAGCAAACTGAGGCTTGGACCAAATGTGACTTGGATTTGATCTACTCATAGCTTAAACCCAGGTCTTGACTCTTTGTCCTATAGGGAAAGTGTGTGGAAATGGGGAAGGGTCACAGAAATTAGGGTGTGAGCCTGTGAAAAGTGATGCCATCGCTGTAGAAAGAGCTTAAGCTATGAAGTCAGCTCTGACTCTACCTCTCTGAACCTCAGTCTTTCCATCTGTAAACCTGGGATAGTAGTGCCAACCTCTCAGGGATGCTGTGAGGTTTACTGAGCATTAGCTGGGTGACCCCTCATCCTCCTTCTCAGTCCCTTCCTCAAGCCTTTCCCTGACATGAAGCACCCGTACCCCCACTCCTTTGTCTCTTCCAGCCCAGAACTGCCCCCTCAGACTCCAGAGCCCTCTCCAAAGCGGTTTTCTTAAAGTGAGTGAGCCTCACCCAGCAGGTTACAGGCTTGGACTCATTAATAATTCACAGTAAACAGGCCCACCAACAAAGGGCTGTGTACAGTCACTGTTCTTAAATATTCCCTGGTGAGGGGCCCTTTGGGAGGACCTAGGCCTGCTCCTTGGGCTGGCCTCCTCTCTCTCCATGTACTCGCCCCCCTACTAGCTGTGTAACCTTGGCCAAGTTACTGCCTCACTCTGGGCCTTAGGCTTCCTCTTCCCACCAAATTTAGAGGGGAGAGAAGGTTGGAGCAGGAGCCCAAGGACCCTCCCAGCTCTGAAGTTCTCAGTTCTGGAATCTGAGCTCTTCTGCTGAAGTCTGGTCTCCAAGAGCTGCCAAGGGTGGGTCTAAAGAAGGAGCTCCAGTCAGGCATAAGGGACCGAGAACAGTTTTTATTGAAAAAAAGAGGCAGAGTTCTAATAAGGGGTTTCTGGCACTGAGTGGCATCCTGTTAGGGGTTAGAGTTTGGGCTGCAGAGCCAGGAATACCTGGATGGACTCCTGGCCCCACCATGTCCTAGCTGTGCAGCCCCAAGCAAGGCGCCCTGCTAGCTTGAGGTGGGGCAGGGAGTGGTTCACAGAGCAAGGCTGCAAGCCAGGGCCTGCACCCCAGCTGTGCCACCCTGGACCTGTGGCTTCATCTCTGAGGCAGGAGTGATGATGACACCAACCTTGCCGGTTTGTTGCAAGGATTAAATGAGGTGATAGTCATAAAACACTTGGAACAGGGCCAATGAAGTGCTATTCACAAGTCACTTGGAATAGGGCCTTATCATTCTTCTTGAGTTTTAGTTTCCTCACTTACAAAGCAGGGATAACAGGATTGTCAAAGTATCAAATCAGGAAATGGACCAAAAAGAGCTTTGGGTCTTGGACATGCAAGGCTGTCCGGAGAAGAGAGCTTTCCCCTAAGATCTGCACCCAGACCTGGCCAGGACCACAAGGACAGAGTAACACTCACTGGACACTACATGCCTTTGGCACAAATATTCTACCTCATGCTCTGCTAATGGGAGTAGAAAGTGGCACCACCTTTCCAAAGACAATTGGAATTATGGGTTGAAAGCTGACCCAGTAACATATAAGCAACAAACATGTATTAAGAATAATCAGAGGCACAAAGATTTATGGTACAAAGATGTTTGTCATAGTGTTTCCTATTATAAAGGCAGCTGAAAATAACCTAAATGCCCATCAGTAAGGAATTAGTTCAATTAATTACAGTGAATTTTCCAGGTGAACTATCCTGCAGATGTTTCAATTATGTTTATAGAGAATTTATTTGCCTGAATTACTGCATTGTCTCCTAACTAGTTTCTCTGCTTCTACCTCTCTCCCCTTATTCTGTTCTCCACACAGCAATAGACCCAGTTGATCAGATCGTGTCACTGTTCTGTTCAAAACCCTTTACTGGCACCCCGTGTTGCTCAGTGCAAAAGCTGAGCTCTTTACAGGGCCATGAGATCCACATGACCTGCACCCCATATCTCTCTCTGACATCATCTCCCTCTGCTTTCTTATTCAGCCACATTTGCCCCTTTGCTCTTCTTCAACTATACCAAGTATGCTTTCACCTCAGGCCCTTTGCACTTTCTGTTCCTTCCACCTGGAATGCTCTTCCTGCAGATATTCATATGGCCTCCAGATCACAGCTCAGGTGTCACCTTCTCCATTAAGCCCTCCTGACCAGATGTCACCTTCTCCATTAGGCCTTCCCTGACCATTCTATTTAAGATGGAACCCTCCCCTCCATGTGGTTCAAAGGAACTATCCCAGTTCCTTTGCCCTGCATTTTATTTTCATAGCATTTGTTATTTGACATCTTATATATTTTGCTTATTCACTTATTCTCTGTCTCTCCCCATTAAATTCTAC